TTTTATTAATACATTTATATTGAAGTATTAAGATGTCAAAAAAATGGGTAAGTTTATCATTAAATTAATAAAAGAGAGGAAATATATTCTATTGAAGTATTTAGATGTTTATTAAATGGGTAAGTTTATTATTAATTGATATTTTTTTAATTAGAAAAAAAAATCATAGAACTAGTTTGACAAGATTTTGATGCTCTGCACATGACTTACTTATAGAAGAAGGAAGACATAGAAATATAGAACGAAACCTTAGAATTTGTAACAAATGTTATATGAATGTCATTGAAAATGAATATCACATCCTCTTAGTTTGTCTGTTTTATAGAGAATTACGTATAAATGTTTGCCAAATTGTTATTTTTATTAGCCCTATTTATCTAAGTTTAAAAATCTTCTTTACAGTTCTCAAAGCAGTACTTTTATTAAGCTAGCTAAATATATATATAACAATTGGAAACACGATATCAAGCTTACATAATAATTATGATAGTAAATATCATTTTCTTATTAAGAAAGCATAGCAATTGGAGCCCATTACTACACATATTTGTCTTTTTAAACAGGATTTTCCTCGTCTTTTCATTTGCACACCAAAGATAGTACCTATTCATGTATTTGTATTTCACGTCTTTCCATATTGCATCCATAATTGTTATTATCACCGTTTTTATGATGTTCAAAATATGTAATTGTTATTATCACGCTTTTTTATTGTTCAAAATATGCAGTGTTTTGTCTTGTGTTGCCATAATACTATATGTATTGGCGATAAACATTGTAGACATTGAATTGAACTTCAGGTGTATATCAATCACTGTCCAACAATCTTAATCTCTCACAATGAAGGTGTTGATAGGATCAAATTACGTTAAAAAGGTGTTAAATTTACACTTTCCAGATAAATATAAAACATAAAATGCACTTAGTATTGAAAACATTCTTTTAATGATCTTCATTAAGAAATTTTATAAGATAAAGTTAAAAAACTACAATGATAAGTTATAAAAAGAAAGCATTGGTCCGTGTCTGTGCCGTGAGTTATAAATAATTCAGTGATTAATTTTTTTTTTATTATAAATAAAATGAGAACTCAGTTTCATCTGGTTTTGATGTTTATTTCATTTATAACTTATGCTGTTATCATGATGCAAATCAAATGTGGGTTCATTACCCTAGACAAGGTTCATTACTCTAGAATGACCATTCCAAAATTATTCCACTTTGAAGTCAGAATTTATGTGAACAAATGTGTTTTTTAAGAGTTATTTCCTCTTTGATAATTTTACTTTACAAACTTCAAATTCTTTTTGCTCTTATCATTTTAAAAATGATAAAACAATATTTTTGAAGGGATTGACTTCAGATTTCAAATTGGTGTCTTTTCCATATAAGCGTAGGAATGTCTGTTTAACATTTTTTACAAGGTCATATGCATATTATGTTGTGCAAAAATACAGGAGATATTTATACCATAGATGATTTTCTTTAAGTTTTGTCTTCCTAACGTCCAGTTTTTTTAATTAGTCTAACTTCGATGTATCCTGTGAGAGCTCTTGTTATTCTGATCTGTCAGATCAAAAAATTTCAAAATCCTAGACTTAAGTAACTTTTTACAGCATATTATTTTTTGTGCTTTTTTATATTTTTTATTTCTATTTTTTTTTGCAAACTTTTGTGTTGAAAAAATTACAGAGCTGTCATTGATAGAGACAATATCAATTCGTCGTTGATATTTTTTTGTCGATCAATAATCGATAATTATTTGAATGTCTATAAATTATGAAAATCCACTAAAAACAGATACAAAAGCAAGTGGCCACTTCCAACACTAAGCTGTTGTTTTATAATGTACACATTTTGATGATGACAAAATATTGTAAGAAAAAAATCATGCAAAGGTCCATTAGAGATGGAACAGAACATATTTACATGAACAGAACATGTATTGTACTAAAATGACTTTAACAGGAATGAAAAGGTTTTATATACATGAAAAAGAGTATTAATCGATATATCGGTGTATCGCCGATATGTGTCAACCGATATCGATGTATCGTCAGTATGCTTTGCACTGAATCAATGACAGCTCAAAAAATTAAAACATCAATAATCACTATTATTAGGTAATTAGGTCATCGAATGGACTGTAGGAAAACAACATTTACACCTGCCAAATTAAGCAAGTTTCGGCTAAAATTTGTGAAGTTTTCGAATGGTGTATGTCTTTGATGGAGAGTTTATACCAGGCATTAATTTAGGGCACTAAATGATGGTTAGTCACAAATCAATTAGAATAAGGCATACTATACATGTTCTTATATGTATCATCACCAATGTAGTTGTCAATATCGCAACATCAAAATAATAATCTTCATCACCATGATCTTTATCATCTTCATTATAATCAACGTCAAAATGATTTTAACCGTTTTTGTTTCGCCTTGAAAAGGTCGACATGTAGGGGTTACTTTTTTCAGCGGCGTCGTTGTCGGCGGCGGGGTCCACTAAAGCTTGTTCTGAGCATAACTCACTATAAGTCGGATGACTCCAAACTTGCAATTGGTATGCATGTTTTTTTAATAACTTGAAGTGCAGTGCATAAGAACCGGTACCATGCGCTTTTTTATTTCTTAGTTATTGCCCTTTGTTAATTTTCATACTTTAATTTTGCCCGGGCCCGGGCCATTTCTCCTCAGCTATAAAATCTATGGACTTGAATCTTCATAGGATGATAGATCTCATTAAGAAAAAATGCAGTGCGTAAGAACCGTTACTCTGCAGTTTTTATTTTCGTTATCTTTCATAATGTAATTTTGTCTGGGCCATTTCTCATGAACTTTAAAAGCTATGGACTGGAAACTTCATAGGATGATAGATCTTATAAATAAAAAGTGCAGTGCACTTCTTATTTTTTGAGTTGCTGCCCTTTGTTAATTTTTAAACTCTATGTTTGTCCGGGCCATTTCTCATAAACTGTAAAAGCTTTGAACATGAAACTTCATAGGATAATGGATCTTATTGAGATGATGTGCAGTACACAAAAAGGTACTCTATGATTTTTTAGTTATTGCCCTTTGTTGCTTTTTATCCCGTCCATTTTGCCTAAACTATAAAAGCTATGGACTTGAATCTAAATCATAGGATGATAAATCTCATTAAGAAGAAGTGCAGTGCACAGGAACAGCGACACATCCGACTCGCAGAGTTCTAGTTTTTAGTAATCTTTATTATTATTTCACACAATATCAAATGCATCTTGAACATGTTGGATTCAGCCTATTTATTCAGTTCTTTATGGTCCCTGAAGGCTTTCTTTTGCATTGCTGTTTTTTGCATTGTTATATCATTTTGCTTTAATTGATGCATGAAGTGTTTTTAGATGGCTTTTGTGTTTTCGGATCTTAAACTATCATGGCTTATATCAGCCACTATATGCATAAACAATTTAATGCGCTGTACTTGTACATGATTCAGGAATGCGAAACTGCTTTAGCAAAAATAATTAAATGTTAGATGTTTTAATGTTTATTATTTATTCACAAAAGCAAATTTTGCTGTTTTCATAAAAAAGTTATAGCTGCACCGCATTGTCAAATATTTTTTTCTTCATTATTTTGCAATGTTGTTTTTCTCATCTTTGAGCATCTTTTATCGCTCTATAAAATCACTGTTTGGAGTTTGGATGCGAGGAATCATATCATGAGGGCATTTTTAAAACAATATGTTTGATAAGAAAAAAAAATTAAAATAGAATATGATGAAGTCAATTATTTCTAATTTATCTTAGATATATCGTATGAAATGGGTTTTAAGCGTTTAGGACAAGTATAAATGGTAGAGAAAATAACGACATTTCCGGTGGTGCAAAGATTTGCCGGTGGCTGTTTTGTAACAATTTGTAACTTATATCTTGCCGGATGGTTTAAAAATTACAATTCTAAACATATGGCTTTCATTTGACTCGTTCCTATTCATTTCTTTGACAAGTAGATATTCAGTATTAGTGCATTTTTGTATATACATGTATGTCAGAATATATTGAGTGTTAAATACGCATTTTTGTTAGCAATGTTTTTTTTCTTCAATTCAATATTATAACAAAACATAAAAAGCAAACACAGTACTGTTATTTTCATTTAATGCCTACTTACTACGAAAGAAGTAATTTTCCCGATGTTGTTACTGAAGTGTTTGTAAAAGACCAATGTTAAGAACATTGCTGTTTCGAGAACGTTGCGAATACAAACGTAGTTCGATTTTATCACATTCTGATTAAAATCAGCTCTTAATAACGCTCCGCTGTTAGATCTGACCATGACCCAATACGAAATCATTCCTGGTGGCGTTCTTCGGCGACTTTTCATGATTTTGAAAGCGATGTCGTTTCTTATTTAAACATGGGAAAGCCAATACTGAGGTAATTTTAGTAGGTAATTTTCACGATTTCGAGAACAAACATGTCGTTGTCCATCAAGCCGAGAGTAAACTGGCAAAACAATCTTGCTCATTAAAACTTGTTTATAATTTCAAGTTAAAATGTTAAAATTTTCTTCAAACATTTTTTTTAAAACAAAAATCAGCAATTTGTTTAACCTCCAGCGATAACGATATTTTGATACTTCTTCCAATGCCTATGTAAAACACCGCATGGCTAAAATAGCTAAAATAAATCCAAATCATAAAGAAGGCGAAACATAAACGGCCGTAACTAAGGTGATGTCAAATTTAAAAAGAAAATATATGAAATTGTGATATCTTTATCGAGAGATATGCCATATATGATAAAATCCAACAATTATTTTGTATGTGAACTAATATATTTTCATTAAAGATAATATGCACGAACTAGCAAAATGTTCGGTAAAAGTATATCAGTCGTAGTGTTTAATATAATTATCTTGCTTTCGTTGATATCCAGGTTTTTCCTATTTCTCAATAATTCTGTACTTACAGTTTTATCACCAACAAGCATAATTAATTCTGCATTTGATGTATTTCAGTGTCTCTTCAACCTAAGGTTGTTTATACACCAACTGAGTTTCCATACTCAAAATGTTTCGAAAATGGTACGAACGGAGTGAATTGTGAAAAGCTTAATATGAGTTACGGTAAGTAATATCACAAAAATGAAAACATTATCCCCGCATGCGTTGGTCTTGTTTCTGATATATTTTTTGAACACTTTTACAGTTAAGATGAAGGAGATCAGAAAATCTTATAATTCAGTTTTGCTCAGTTATGCAAAATTTTTGACTTCCGAATTTTTAAGTCACTTTCGTTCTTAAATAAAATGTCTTTTTCTAAAAATATATCCAAAATACAGGCTTTACTTTCAACTACATGTTCACTATAAAACTTAATATATATTTTCGTACTGGCAGTCATTTTTCATTTCAAACTTGAAAAATAAGGGACATTTTTTAGTTAGTGACAACTAACGGCAGCCTGTTTTGATAAATAAGTCATACCTGTGCAAAATTACTATTAGAGTCATTTATTTATTCACCATGAACCTCAAAACACTTTTCCAAGATCAGTGTCCATTCCGAAAAAGTATTCTTGAACTGTTCTTTGTGTACTAGTATACTGTTTATACACTGTTAGAGAGCGCTTCCGACGGGACAAGGGGTTTCGAACCGGCGTCTGCGATGGCAAGATTTGATGTATGGATTTGACCAAAAGTCACAAGGAGGGAGGTCAGGACTATAAATGGGATGTAGGAAATTGTTTTCATTTTTTCTTTTCCTTTTAATAAGCTTATCTCCTCCACGGTATATTTTGCATTTTCATCAACTATGGATTTGACAGTGCTTATGTTTTTATTAGAGGGTGATCAAAACGGTGATCATCCTTAACATTTGCTCTGCCTTCCTTTAAACATTGACACCCACCTGGTAATGTGTACGATATGGAGCATAAACGCTTAAACGTAATTACCGAATAACCCACGAATTTTGCAATAAGCTCTTTGCTCCTCTCTCAATGCACTATGCAACTGCGCCATATTTAAACTAGTATACAAAACCATGATCTGCTAAAATTACTAGTATATTAATCGTGCGAAATAAGCTGTTGGTTAGAAAAGATAATATTTTCAACGATATATTGTACATGTACTTTCATGTGCAAATCATGGTGAAATAGAGTTGTTGCCACTAATTAAACTATGTCCCTCGTACTTGTTCAATATAAAGTGCATGTAATTCTGCTTTGCATATTTGCAGACATGTTCTTATTTCTTCTTTAATTTGTTTGTAATGTCCAGAAATGAGAATAAACTAGACATGTTGTACGGGAAAAATCCGTTGTTTCATAATCCCGCGAGTCATGGTTGCATGTTTATGTGAATGATGCTGCAGAGATTTGAACGCGAGATTTATAGTTTCTGTTATAAATGTTGTAGAGCTTCGAGTCAAAGAAATTAACATACAAGTCTATGTAGGTGTCATTGCTACTTAAAGGTACGCTGAATTGGATTTGGCACTGTCCGAGTATTTCATATATGCTTCAGAAAATGTCTTTGTATTTTATATATGCTAAAAAATATGTCATTGCACAACAAATTTGCTAAAGTTAATGTCCATTCCGTGTTATTTTTAACACAATGCCATTGTACTTATCATATTAAAGTAAACGGGACTCAATTGATTTATTTTTACTTGAATTTACTTAAAACAGTTTTACCAGATTTATGTTCCATTTGATGTAGGTCTAGACTTATAACTTGTTTACAAAATTTCAGATCATTTGCCAACTATATTTTTCAAGAATAATTATTTTGATTGCGAAAAGTGACCTAAAATTGAAAAAAAAATGGAACGCTTTTCACTTAAATCGGACTAAGAATAACACAAAAATACGATTCTAATTTTATTTCTTAATTATCTGTCTGTTTTTAGTGTCCGACCATATCTATGTGAGCCATTCAAATGTAATATCTTTATGCTTTTGAGCCTCAATGGAGTTCCTTTAATGTCATTGTACTTTCATGTTTTCTAAAGTTAATGTCATTGTTTTTCTTTTATACTTAATGAAAATAAATTTTATTACACGTTATTTATGCTCATGCAAATGTTATAACTGTATTTCATTTTGAAGATTATTTGTTAAAAAGGAAATATTAAACGTTTTACGTCGATGAGAATTTTTTAATCATCCTTCTTATGAGTTTAAAACACTCTTTTTCATGTAGGTATTTACCAACATCTGCACAAATATATCAGGTAGCGTGGTTGTCAGTAATTATAGTATTTACAGAATTCAGTAAATGTGTGGTATCATACGTAACACCGAAACATATTTAAAACATCCATTTGCAATGTATCAAACTAAATTTTTGACAGGGTATTCTCTGGGTTTTTACTGGCAATTGTCATAGTGATATACAGTTTGAAGGTTTCTACATATAACGTTGCCACTCTTCTGTTATTGTTTTCTTTTCTTGACATCATACATCTTATATTTTACGATCAAACTTCTTTTATATTGACCGATGTAACAACCGTATCTTTACACAAACAAAAAGACATTTAAAATGCTTTTCCATTTTTGTAATATTTTCAATTCCATTTTTTATTCTTAAGTCTCAAAAGTAGTCATTTTGGTTGTTTCTTTTCAGCAAGTTGAATATTATATTTTTGAAAATGACAATTTTGACTTTTCAGTAACGTATTTAACTATCCGCCATAAAACATATCTATAGATATTAATGATTTTTTTTTATTTCTACTGTAATTAAAAAAAAATCTGCAACTTGGAGGGAACATTGCATTAACAATTGCCTCCCATGTACAGTTGCAAAATAACAGACTAAAATTTATCTTTGTTTTACAAGCTTTAAGGTTTTCATTTCTTGTAAGTGTTACTTTATCATGCAAACCGTGAAATACTCGCTTCCTGGTTTACTTGATCAAACAGAGATGATAAGTATAATGACTTGTCAAGTGTCCTCAAAACAACTTGATTAGACATCTTATTCATACTGTGACATTATATTGTAGGTTAACTCATATATGTGTTAAGGTTAATTTTTTTGAAATATAACAAAATAAAATTTATGCACAAAAAACACTTATTACAATCAAAATCGACAAATAAATAAAATTAACACTTTCTTCTCCACGTTCATGTGATTTTTTCATCGGATATTGATATACCGTTGATGTGTTTCAGGACATGCAAATTCAAAGACAATTTGATCATTTTATATATTTTTTATAGAATTATGCAAAAAGGTCCTTTTTCCAGGTTATGTTTAAGTTATTTTAAAGTTTATTACGAAACAGAAGTATTATATACATAGGATTGCATATTTTAATATAATCAAAAAGCGCTTGGAAAAAGGAGTAATATATCAGCAACATTAAGCTTTAACTACTTGTAGAAACTTAAACAACAATTATCTGCTTGTAGTATGTATTTTATGTTGCAATCTCAGTCATAAATTATTGTACAGCTACATGTTAAATGAATGTTCAAAAATTGATATTACAAATTAAACACACGTTGTTAAATTGCCGGAACCTGATAAAATGCAAGATCCTAGTAGAGGGTAGTTTAAAGATATAACAAAGACATATTTACAAATCATTTATAACCCATAAATTTTACAGAATTTACTGACAATATAGTAAACATAGAAATACCTTAAGATATGAGAACCTAGTATTGCTAAAAACTTGAGTTATTTTTAATTTATTCGCTGAAAATGAGTCTATTTACGCGTGTTTTTTTTATTTGAATTGCAAAACAAGTGTGTTTTCGTTAGGTATTGTATTATACTTCAATTTCTGGACATTAAAATTGACAACAAAAAAGTTCGGAGCATTTTTGCCCTCGAAACATAATAAAAGCAATATTAAACTATCGTCATCACAAAATGGTCAAATTGATTGATTGATTGGTTGACTGATTAATAGATTGATTGATTGATTTATAAAAGATACAAATAAAAAGTAACGCACAATATCTATTTTTTAACTTATTCTACCGAAGTGAACATTGATTCCTTTGGATGAAATTTAAATAATTGAGTTACTTTACATTTTACATAAAACATTCATTTGTTAAATTTGTTGAAGTTTTCACAATTTTTTTTAGGTTATATAATTCACATTTTAAAACATAGTCACAGAAATATAGGTTGTAAGGTTATATTAATTAGTTTTACCATTACTCTGCTTCAGATGACTCTGACCAGAAGAAACTAGACAATTTGCTTTCTTTATAAATTTATTTTGAAAAGTTTTTAAATTTAAATATATCTACATTGTTACCTGTTTACAGAAAGACAAGAGAAAGAGAGCATGTGGCCACCAGGGCCATACGCAATACCAATGTGTAAATATGGCTGTCCGGAATCACAGTCTCGGGGCTGGTCGAAAGGCATTTTAAAGGTCAAGATGGTAGAATTTAGTAAACATTCAGAAAGTGTCCCTATAGTGTTGGATAGGAATTGGGAGCCCAATTCCTCATTCATAAACGATGACTATTTTAAATCGCCGCATCGAATGAAGAATTGGACGCTTTTTTACTTTTGCGTGAAATTCCGAAATGACACTGCACTTGATAAGGGACACTGGATTCCAGGAAACTACAGCATTTATAAGATCGGATCTTCATGTCCCATGGGTATATATCAATTATTGTATACTTGAAAACAATTTTAAGTTCTGATATCTCTTATCGTTTTCTTTTCTAATCTGGAATCAAAAATTTCGAGGTTTTATGTTCATATATCACTTTCATCATATTCCATCAATGGTACATTTGAGCTGCTTTGTTTATCATTATAGGTACTAACAAATACAGATATATCTGATATACAGTATATCCAATTATACCACGGTATCTTTATATCATTTTTTCTAGAATTTGAAGAATCCACCCGAACATTTTCTGTCACTGAATTTGTGTCACATGGTAATGTTCCAGTTATTGCAGTGAGTGAAGAAGGTTCGTGGGTAAAATTATTGTAATTTTTTGACTGTCTGTACTGTTCAAAAAAGCTATTAACTAACCAATTTTGGGTAAAAAATGTATATAAAAGTAGATTTGAACAATATATCATACTTTTGATAGTTCTTAGTATTGCATGATACCAAACCCTGTTACATCTTTAAATGGACGAATTATTTAACAAATTGATGCCGGTTGTGTTTTCAGTACTTATCGTTGAAAGAACATTATCCCTTTGAAAAAGTTAAGCTTTCGTTTTGTAGGAAAGACAAGTATGAGCTTCATGATATGTTTATGGATTTAGAACATGCTAGATGCTTATTATCGGAGAAAAATAGTATTGAATTGAAATAATTTATGATTTGAACAAAGTGGTATTTTGACTTCCATACAAATACGTATTCACTGTAACTGTACTTAATGCTGAAATGCAAACAAAAAGTAAGCAAAAGATAATTCTGGTATTAGAAAAATGAGTAACATTTTTTAGAAACTGTACCTTGACTTTAAAAAAAAATGTTTTGACAAATAAAACATTAGATATTGTAGGCTTTATTTGCTGAAACTTGTGCTGGGGGAGGCGGCGTGGGCGGTAGCTTTCAATAATGTGATCACAACTATCGTCCATGAACATGCTAAGTAAAATCGAGCCTGCAATATTTTAAGTTTTGACGTGCTGGGCTTTCTTTATGGACTCTGTTTTTCTTTTTTTTAGGACTACTGCTTTGCTATTGTCCAGAATGATTACAAGACAAAATATAAAATGTCTGTACTATTTCAGGACAATCTGAAATGTTAACTAAAATCATCAACATTTCAATATGTAAAAGAAAGAATTCGGCTGACATGGGATACGTTTATACAAATGAAACATTTAAATTGTTGGAGACTGATTTCATTCTCGAAAAGGCAAAGGCTTTTATTTTTCTATCAGTATTAATTAGAAGTAACTTTAACATCGGAAATCAAATAAATAAAAGGCAAATTACTAAGTAAATTAGTATAACATTACACAGTCAAGAAAAAACATATTTGAACGTTTTCTTTATTTACAAACTCATATACCATCCTGGTCTTGAAATTAATACATGACTGTGTAATGAAATCATATTTTTAAAATCCTTTATACAATTTTGCCATATATCAAATGATGCACTGAACTTGTTTTTTTACTATATCAGTTGAAAAAACAACATATCTCGAATACAATAACCTTTATTTTGACAGGAAGCAGATACAAATTGCTCCCAGTTCAACGTATCAACGGTGTCTCAGGGAGTGACTCACTGTTTCTATAACCCAAAAGGTAAATAAACTTTATTCAATGTTGAATTCTATCTTAAATATAATATTCTTTAAATTTCGTGTTTAATATTTGGTTGTCAGTTAAAGCTACATTTTATAATATATAGACATATTTTGCCGTCGGCCTAAATAGCAAAGCAGTCTACACTTTTATTAATCTTTTGATCAGTATGGTTGTAAAAACTATCAAATCCTGTTTGAAAGGAAAAGCCCCTGGTAAAACTATAGTTAGTATACGTATTTTAACATGCAAAATGAAGACTGTGTATGCGTTATGTCACAGTGTTAGACTTTTGAAACATCTTTTGTTATACTAGGGATTTTCAACGAATAAAATTATGAAACATTCGTTATATCATACGGAAATATACCGTTAAATTCTGACTGATACTAAAAGGCAGGTTTGTTGATTTTCTGTTGATGTTCGGATGGCCAATAGGCGGAGTTACACATGTAAATAGGAAATGTACTCTCGAATTAGCCACAATGAAGTTACTGATTTATAAGGTTATCTCGACACAAAATTAAGAACGGGAATCGGTATGAAACCCATTGTAGCTATTTCTGTTTTTATGAAATTTTGGTGTTTATTTTTTTTGTAAGTAGATCTTTTATAAAATAACCCTGTTTTGATTCTACAATGTTCAATGAACAAATATTAAAAGTTAATTTTGTTATGTAAATCTGTTCAAAAGCTATTTGGTTGTGATTTAGCATTTTCTTGTAAAGGCCCACTTTGGATTTTCTAGTCTCTGGTTGGTCAGTTTCTACACTCGATATTAAAATACATATTCCCACATGCGGATATGTTATTGTTGCTATATCACATATAATGAAAACAATATGAATAAATAAATTAACTTAAATTATATTTTGCGGTTTGGCACCATATAAAACTATTTCAATGATTCATTGTACGTCTGTTCAACAGGCTAGTTAATACACGGTATTAGGAAGATAAACATGATGACAGTGTATATTAATTTTAATTGCCATTAAGATAATTACACATGTGTTTGTCTTATGATCATTAAATATATAAATTATTATTTCAGCCGCCAAGAAAAAACTTATTTTTTTGTCATTACGAAGAAGCGTTGTATTTTTTTTTATAGATATAGGTCCATTCAATACATTTGTATTTCAATAACTCTTCAGCTTGGGTTGCATTTGTCCCCAATCTTCCGCTTAACATGTTTCTGTTATCATATTCTTACAAAATGCCTAGTTAAATGAAATCTATTGAACAGTTTTAACTTTGCACATATGTCTTTATGAAAACGTCCTTAATAAAAAGAAAGTTCAAATAACAAATGTACATGTATCTTAAAATCTGACGTTCCCTTATTATATCAGTAACATTCTTGTCCCGCTTCATCGATATAGAAATCATGACTTTGGGTAAAAGATATTCATGTTTTAAAAACCGTTTTAATTTTCTTAATTTTAATTTATTGTTGACAATTTTTGAGAAAATTATGAGACACTAAGATCGTAAATGGCGGCTTACATTAAATTAAAATAGCATAATTATTAATATTGTTAAATTGATGGAAAATGTAAATGGATATGCACACGTATAAATGCTATATCCATTATCTCATATCACAATTCTGAGTACAAGAAATCTTACATTTTGAACATATAAGCATACAAGAAGTGAAGAAGTACCTTATTGAGTTATTTTGAAAAATTACTTTTATATGTCACATTACATTAGGAGATACAATATAATTTAGATTTTTGTTGAGGTTAAATTAATAAAGGTACTACCGTTTTAACACATTTGTTTCCAAAATAGTTGTCGTTGATATCGCGAGTTGCTTGATTGCTTTGATAGATCTTACATTTATTTTTGCATCTGTTCTTAGGAAGTGACCACGAAGGCCATAGTCGCGAGTGGTAATTATTTCGCAAAAAACGACAAATCGGTATAAAATAGCCGATAAACATGGCTCAGACCAATACTATTTCTATTCTAACAGGAACAAAATAAGGAAGGTCACTGACGCTATTTTTAAGCGGAAATAATTTATACTGCCGCTTTTACTATTTGATTGTTCTTGTCCACATCCTACTGTCGCTGAAGTATAGTAAAAATAAAAGATTTATTAAGAAAAATCACTTTCTTTACAGACTTGATTGTTTTATTTTTACATCGGTGCTTTATCCCTGCGTACTTCTATACAGGCTGGCTTCTATATCTCTACTAACGAATAGTCTAAGATACTTTAAATATTAATAATATTAACGGATCTGAAAAAAATTCTATGTGAGATAATTTTAACCATTATATGAGCCATTAACCATTATATGAAAAGAAAACTTTTTCAAGATTTCCGTACTTACGTTTCAAATGTTTTCTTTAATTGTTTCCAGTCCAAAACAGTGACTATGAAACAGCAACAGGTATGTCAAAGTAGTTATCTTAAACATCTTCTTAAAAGTATTTTCAGTAAAACATGAAATTCAATATTGTCATACACATATAAAGCACCATTATTAATGTTGAATATTAGCCAGTTTTCTTTTTGAACAATTATTTTCAGATTATTAAAAGTTTACCATTGCTATCATTCATTTCATCAAATTCGTATCTAAAGTATTTTGATAAACAACATTTTACAAAAACATTATTCAGACATTCAAAATCAAATCAGTACAATACGATGGACAAAATGATATACTGCAGAATAGTGTAATGCTAATTGTGAACAAAAATATAGACACTATTAAGATACAGAATTCAAATAATTTATAAATTTTATTCTAAATCTAATTTACTTAGCTAAGTTTTTTTTTAAATTTTAGAGTTGATTCTCAATCAACGAACCCTCTACAAACTGCAGCAAGGTAATATTTAACTTATTGTCTTGAAGACATATATAATTTACGTTTGCAGGCGTTATTAAATGTGTTACTGTCATATGTATTGCTGAACTTTAATCTAATTACAATTTTTGTTCTTAAATTTTCGCGAAATAATCACAAGCTAAAAAATTACTCATGTACTTCTCATAGAAGTTTATTTCCTTTTATAGGGATATTTGGTAAAATCTCAGATAGAAAACCGAATGATTTATTTCAGATATAGATTTTGAATGGTATTTCATTGACTGTAAGCGTTCACTTGAGGTAGTAATGATTGACATCAATTCTACAAATTTAGTGAGTACATTTAATATATATACTGAATATAGCCACTTCAATCTGTCTGAATTCCTGTTTTTTTCTGACAAGGCCAAAAACTGTTTGTTAGACGATCAACTTCCAAATTCATTATACCCCTTTTATCCACTGCAATCTGCCTGAATTCCTGTTTTTTCTGACAAGGCCAAAAACTGTTTGTTAGACGATCAACTTCCAAATTCATTATACCCCTTTTATTAAAGATGTATTGATGACTATTATATTGGACAAGTTCTTAAGTAAATGTGCCGAATTCTCCGTTACAAGTTTAATAACTTATTAAGATACATAGCTACCAATACATTTTTCAAGTATGTAGTAATAGATACCATTTAAACAGTTATACAAAACTTCATTAAAATGTGCAAAAATGGCATTAAACTAACTTAAATGCCGTAACAACAATAAAGAAAGCGACCAATGTCAAGCGGTTTATTCGACGTCAAAATATTTCGAAGCACTTTCCTCGACAATCAAAACGCTTTAAGTGGTGTTATCCAAAGATTTATGGAAAAAATGTCCCTGGAATATTTTACCGTCAGTTTCTTGTTAAATTTAATGGTAGCGGACATGAGTCATTTGTTATACTAAATGTATCTTCCCTTCCTAATAACTCCTGTTTTAGCTGTAGAAAATAGGAACAGTCCAGAGGGTAAATCGGGAATTAGGCAAGAAAAAGTAGGTGAAAATTACAAAGTCAATCCGTATCTGGGGAGTGTTTGAAGTATGTGCTTGGAAGGTGCCATGGTGTCAACCGATCCATTTTGATTGCTAGGAGAGTTCCAGTCCTTTCTGTTTATTTTTACAGAAGGGAGAATATATAGTCGCCGCCTTGTTAGTCTGTCCTTCCTTCCGTCCGTGCGTCTTTTCATCCGTCCGTCCCTCTGTGAGTCATACTCTTGTCCGGCGAATAACATAAAACACATTGAATATATATAATTTAAAGTGATTTGGTTCGTAATGGAATGTCTGCTACAAGTATTCAATGAATAATTACGTTGATATTATTTATTATCACACATAGCTAGAAACCGAGAAATAATTATACTGTGTTGTTTTTGTTGTTGTTGTTTTTTTGGCAAGTGTAAGATGCATGATTTACTATAATATATTCGTATATAGAAGATAATAAAATGTTCTAGAACAAAATATTATTACTCACCATGAATATTCATACCAAATCATTTAGAATTTTATCTATTTTCTTTTTCATTCAAGCAATTAATATAAAAATTATTCAAATGATACATATTTGAAATACTTGGAATTGTAAAATATGCAGTGCGTAGACCAATTCATTTTAAACATTGAGAGAAAATGCAGTGTTTAAGAAAAATAACTCTACCTTGCTTAACTCTTTAGTAATTTCCTTTGCTAATTATCATATCAACTAAAGAAACTTAAAAAACCGAAACATGTTTTGATAAACTGTGTTGGTAAATGTATCTTTTCATCAAATAGTATCTTACTTAAACTGGACATAGTTACAGAGACTAGTAATAGCAATTGCAGTATTAACAAAAAACAAAAGCATATTTTTAAATTTATCTCCCTTTATGATACATAACTATACCTACCCATTGAGTAACTAGAAAAGTATTGTAAGAATGTTATTAACACATCACATAGTGATAGAGACCAGGCTTGGAGGGGGTGAAAGTTGTCCAAGATCTTAATTGCCCCCTATGATATTTTAATAATTCTCTTAGTTATACTTAATAATGCTAGTTACACTTTTGGTTATAATTTAAAGCCTTTATTTATCGATCGATGTCTTTAAAGCGTGGTGGAAACCTACCTTGGATGGCCGTCTAACTAAAGACACATTGGTCAAGATCAAGGGCAATGTTGCTCAAGAACGTTTTGTACACCTTTGCCCAAACATCATTCGTTTAATTACTAATGCCATTCATATTTAGAAAGTAGATACTTTAGGAAGTCCGTCCTCTTTACTTTATGAAGTTATCCAACAGTGCGATACTAAGGTCAAGGTCCCTGATGCTAAACATATTTTTGATACGTTTGCATATTAAAAACAGCCTTTATTAATTGACTGGTGTCTTACTTATTCAGTAAGTAAATTTATTGACTGGTATCTGTAGTAATAAAGAGATCTAGTAAGCTGTCGTCTGCGTCATCGAGAGCTAACTACTCTCCTATGTTTATCATACTTTGGAAACTTAGGAGAAAGAAGTAAAACAGTTCAGTTATCTTCACGTGTTATTAATTTATCTTTAAAAGAAATAAAACGACATACGAGCATGTATCGAGTTTGTCTACATTAATTCTGTGAAAGGAAAAAACAGCGGTTAGTGACGAAAATATCACAAAATGTAAGCATGTGATCAGCGTTAATTCACTTCTTCAGCAGATCGTAAATTTTTTCTCACATGCAAACCAATTTTCTCCCTCTGGCTGAGCCTTTCTTTTTAACTACTGTTTATGGCAAACAAGTGCTGGCGATACATTACTTAATTTCTCTGTATGGCCGATTTCGTCAATAGAGATTCGCACAGAATTATGTAATTGTTCGCTGCGCAAATCACATTTTTTGTTAACTTGTGAATTAATTAAATGACGTCAGCAGACCAGACGACGCTCACGAGTTATTTAGCAAACACAGCATCAGATATAAAAATAAACCGCCGTTCGAGGTACATATATAAAGTGCGCGTGTTCTGTAAAATTACACATGCACGTTAATATTATGACATTGTTAAGAATTGTGTATCTTATCTTATGTTCAAGATAGTGAATGGTAAGATAATTAAATAGATTTAAGGACTTTTCTTCATATATATTGTGTGCAAACTGTGTGTTTTTCCTTATGTATAAAGACCATTTATGTGGTTTTGTTCTATAAAACCGTAAAACGTAGTTTTTAATAATGATAATAATAATAATATTAATAATAATAATAATTATAATAATAATAATAATATTGATAAAAATAATAATAATAAACAGCACTTTCATTTTAATATTTGGATTTGTACACTTGTTCTGACATCCGGTGAATTGGTAAATGATTATAGCAATGAAACAAGTTGTGTGCAGAAGGTTAAAGCAATAAAGGAAAGAAACAATGTTTTAAATAAATCAAAGATCAATGTTTGAAATGCATATAATCTTACTGAATTAAACATTTATAAGTCTGTTGATTGCATGATTTTTAAAGTCTGTTCCAATCAGATATGAAACAAGAATGTTTTCTTCAGGGAAATACCTATTTTAAGTGTTTCGTCAATGATGTGCCTGGGAATTTAGAAGATTCTTCAGTGTGTAACACAGAAACTACCACTCTTCCAGGAAAAGTATATCTAAGGTAATTCTGTCGCTATGATAAAGATGCCATTGTGTGATGCTTTTCCTTGTGAAATAAATCAAACTGTTCATAAAGTTGATGAAAGAAAACGGCAGATTTCCATACTGATGTGTCGTCATGTCATCAGAGGTACTAAAGATATGTTATCTATCAAAACAACAGCACCATCAACTGAAGCGACATCTCCATCTTTTTTAACAACTGCACCGTTTATCAAAACCACAGAACAATCTCACACGACATATAAAGCGATTGTAGCCTAGTAATGACCGCATGTAAATGTCAACAAATTGTGTATTGTTCGCAAATCTTTGAATAAGATTTCGTTAGGTCTCTAAAAATATTTTTAAAATACTCTTTTAACTATTTTGTTCTAACTTGACAAGGTGTATTGTTCGCATATCTTTGAATACATATGTGTGTGTGCGTGCGTGCGTGTGTGTGCGTTTTGATTTTTTTCTCACTTCCATTTATGTAACTATTCATATGAAACTATCAGGAATATATGTATTATAAAGTTTGACTTTGTGGGAAGGGCTGTTGCTAATGTTGTAATAACTTGTAGCCCAAGCCAATTGCACTATACTTATATGTACATTTGTTTTTTTTGTGTTATTCATATCTTACAAGTATAATATAGTTGCAATAAAATATTATTAAACTAAACTAAAAAGTATCTTTGAATAAGAGATCGTAAGGTCACTTTAAAATCTTTAAGATATGCTTCTTAACAATTTTGTATCAAATTGACCAGATGAAATATTTGCTTATCTTAAAAATGAGAGATCGTAAGATCTGTAAATATCTTTAAAATACACTTTTTAACTATATTGTTGAAACTTATTTTCGTAGAATACTGCTAACAAAATATATTGTCAATTGACCAATTAAATTGCAGAAGAACACGAGGTCGTTTTTTTACATTTGCAATGAAGGCAAACATAACAGGCGACGTGTCATTTCAGGTGTATGTACCGAATATAGAAGCACGTAAGTAAACTTCATAAAGCAAAAGAGAATAAACTCGGAAGAATAGTTTTTGCTAATGATAAACCAATTACAACTTCTTCAAATTCGATAGAGATAAGTATTATAACATGTAAACTAAAACATAGCAAAAATAAAATCCTTATTGATGCTGACCTTTTGAGATTATTATTAAAACTATTTTTCTAATAATTTTATTAGTTGACATATGGAAATGAATTTTTTTATTATAAGTTAGTTTAGTTTTACGAATATTAGTCTAGTTCGATTGTTTCTAGGCTATAACCGTATTGAAACAATCTGGAATACGTTCCTTGAACCAACCATAACTAAACAATGAGTGTTAAGTTTCTTGCTTACAAAAACGACGGCTTGCCACTTGCAATGTTGACCCATGTGGCCATTATTTCTTTCATTGTCAGTCTGGTGTGTTAATCACTCGGCAACGCTGACAGTGAGTTATTTGTGCACGTGTTTCAATTACTGGAAACCATGACACTTCCAAGCTTACTGTTTACTTCTAGTATAATATGGAACACTGGCGTTATTGTGAAATCTGAATCTTTCACGTGAATGTCACTTTGCAATCAATACTCCATTTTTAATGATCTTTCAGTAATTATACAGTACAAATCATTAATTTTACCGGTTGCAAACCCTTTTACGATATGTTTTGGGGATTTTTTTTGTTTGAATATGCCTTTGCTTGTGTAAGACTTGTAAGACATTTTCTTATGTTTTGTCTGTAGAAAATGGTGAGCCATGCTTTGAAAGTATTTTAATAGACGACAAACAGGGACCAAACACTCAGATCACTGTTTCTTCTGGAACCACAACACAAATATCTACAAATACAAACACTATTTTGACTGGTTGGATTCATGATGCTCTAGATCTGACACCTTGGATTTTGGTTTGTATAATTCATGTCAAGGAATATTCTCTCATATTAGCAAAAACGAAAATGCATTAAATTGAAAGAAATTCATTTCACACATGTATTTATTAACATGTTTTAACCTTTTCAAAGTGGAAGCATTGAGATATTATACTTCCTCCTGGCTTACTTGACTAGGAAAATGATCTATAGTCTTATCTCCATACATGTATTATTACATTCATATTAAATGTAATGATACACGATGATTATAATTTCGTCAATATGCCAGATAATTATGCTATATGAATAACAGTAATCCATATCTTCTTGGCAACTTGTTATCACTATTAAATAGTTATTCCTTTACTATTTACACCTTATTGTATTTGTGGAACTAGTCTTTCTGTAAAGTAAAAGGATAAAGAAATAGAGTTTAGTTATGCTAGCTTTTAACATGTAGGGCAAATATATGTATAAATGAATTGTTATAGATATGTTATCTAATGTAATATAATTAAAAACTAACACCCTTAATGATACTTTTCTTTCCGGTTTTGAAAAATAGAAGATTGAAATGCTGTTAATGCAAATATCGCAAATATCTCTATTTTGAAAAATTATGGTCTATAGTGGTTGCAAGCCAAATGAGCTGACTGAAGCGTGACGCGGATGACATTTAAAAAAAACGTCACAACTATTTAACCGTATATAAACATTTTAAACTAGTTCATCAAGTTTTTGTTTTCAAACGTTAGACAATAATAAGACATTGTTATGGTTGAAAGCACACGCACATAATTACAGGGAGTCGTTTCTTTTGGCAAAGTTGTCTAGAGTGTGTAAGTGAGAGGTAATGGGTTTGAACAATTAGTATTTCTCAGATGCACTTGCAACTTTCTTCTGCGATTAAAAAATGCTCGTATGAATATGTACGTTTTGTTCAGATACCTTATTTGTCAATTCAAAACAATTCAGATACAGATCAACAAGTTTAGTACAAATAATATTTTTCAATTTAGATCGATTTGATTGCTGCAACAAAAATAGAAGGAGTTGGTGTTTACGTTTCCCAAACATGTGACATGTGGACGACTTTCAATTTATATTTCGGCAACAATATGGATACATTACAGTTGTACAAGGATATGGTATACTCGTTTGTGTTAACATATAACAATAATCATATACATTCATTTTAAAGCAACATGCCCCCTTTATTATGCTTTCTCTCATTAAAAGAAACAAAATGTTTTTTAAAAGAAAAATATTGTCAATTTTACTAAATAAGAAAGGTACACATTGCAAACGACACTTAAAATCTACAAAAAAATACCAAAATTAGGTCAGAATATGCAAAAATAGCATTTATTGCGTCAACCACGCAGTTAAATTATGGTGATAAATACTGCTTAATCAGTAATAAATTGTATATAACTTGAATTGTAAATAGTTATGATTTTCTTAAAATCTTAGTACATTTTTGTCAAGGTTGTTTCTCTTGAAATATTTTAGAGGCATGCAGCTTTAATGTATAGTTTTAACTCATTGTTTATATTGAAGTCTTCCAGATAACTATAACGGTAGTGTTAATTGATTGATTGGTTGGTTGATTGATTTATTGTTTGATTGATTAATTGATTGATTGATTTATTAAATTATTTTCAAAAATCTAAATTTTGTTGCAAATGTTGTATGACGCCAAAACGTGTATTTCACCTGAAAAATCAAAAAATATGTCTGCTAGTTAACTGTGAAAAAGTTTAATAAAGGAACATAGAAACACGTTAATTTCTTGTCGGAAATGTCAACGTTACAATAGGAGTAATATCTTGTTAACTAGTATATAACTAAAGATAAACCTTTAAAAATGGGTCAAAGTCAGAAAAGGCTGGGTTGCATATGTATACCAAATATCATGAGGCCGTGATGTTACTTAAAGTTTCTATCATTGACCATTGTTGAAAATTTAACTTGGGTCGGTAAACCGGAAGTGGATGAACAACAGACCTGAAATCGAATATCGAATCCCACAATATGAGACCACATGTCAATGGTGTGAATCCCATATCAAGAGGCTGTGGTAAGGAGTTGCTGAGAAAACTGTTACGAAATGTCCTACCATTGACCATAAATGTCAAGAATTTAACTAAGTAGGCAAAAATGAAGTGGATGAACGACAGACCTGAAATCAAATCCCACGGTTTGGCATCACATGTTGATGCTGTATACCAAATATCAAAAGGCTGTGATAAGCAGTTGCTGAGAAAACTCCACCAACCGCCCGAAATTCACCATTCTATACCCCTGGTTTGCAATCGTGCAACCCGGCCGAAAATTGGCAACAACACAACGTATCGACAGAATTATGTAGAATGTAATGTTACGTCAGGAGTTTCACGTTTGCATTGTTAGATTATAATAGTAATGTTACTTTAATGCAAGCATCCATTGTTTTTTGTTTGGATATGACCTTTTTAATATTGATAGTTACTTTAAACTATTTCCCTCGAAAAACTGTTCCAGTAGGGTATCAAGTGTAAGTGATCAACATCTACAGTGACTTAATTCGGGTGAATGTAATAAATGTCAAAAACACTTCTGTATGAGTAAACGTGTACCAAAGTTCCTTATGTCATTGCAGTTTATACATTACAACATTACAACACCCTTTAACTTCATAGTAAGCTATATATAGTTTAAGAAATTATTATTGTAGTTTTGATGGTTTATCTTATTGTTTTTAAACTTAACAAATCAGCTATTTTACATTATTTAAACCAAACCAATCGTCCAAAACGATGTTGATATATCAATCGAACTCTAAGAATGAAAAAAGAAATGTGTAATCATGTGTACTTGTGATTCATTATTTCAGGAATTTGAAATATTTCCACCAGAAAACTGGTGGAATATAGATCAAGTGTTCATTCTTCCGAGACCAATCAATGGGAGATACGCAAAATTCAAACATTCACTTGTAAAGCCAACAGGCCAATCCAGATGTCTTAATTTCAAATTGTTCGGCTGTAAAATGACACGTAAGTTGACAATTAAGGCCGTTATATTTTAGTTTGTTTCATGGTAACCATTGGTGGATTGTAATGAAATATCGAATAAAGAAATAATGTAGGTGTACCAATCTGAAACATATTTATATACCTTTGAAATTTCCGAGTTTAATCGTGCCACTTTTCTTAATTTACTCATATATGATATATATTACATCTCTCATTTAATAGGTATAATTGACATCAACAGCGACAAATCATCTGAAATGCTGCCTCTTGAACATGAATTGCAGTCTGGAGTTTCCACTTTCTTAAAAACAAATCGTACGAGATGTATCGAACTCTGCAGTTCTCAGAACAGTTGTAGTGTTGCTAGTTTTAATAGTTCGTATGACAAACTAAATGGATCGGATAACGAACATCACGAACCACCGGAACAAATCGGAAATTGTTATCACTACTTGTATAGTCCGCTTGGATTATGGAAAATTAAGACTATAACCGATGATGTGCATTGGTTTGCCAAAATACGAAACATTGGTATGTTAACATTTCTTAATATATTCTTTTGCTGGTGAGCTATATAATTAAGAGGCTTAACTGCAGACTATAAGTGTTAAGTGAATTAGCATGTAGTTACAGTGTTATAATAATCTAACCTGAATTAATAACTATGGGTTAAAAAGTTTGCAATGTAAGAATTTTACTCAAGTCGCATTCAAATTTTACTCTCATTTTCATTGCTTGATCCGGCTTCTTTCAAGAATAAGTTATAAAGAAAAATACAAAAGCTAATATCCTCAATTAAATGTAATACATCGGGCCTGTACGCTGTTGCTAGACTTGTCTAAAGTTTGTCTTTATTATGCAATAAAATTTATGACAAATCATATCAATAAGGCATATTTGCATGAGGCTCCATATAAGCTTTAATTCCGATAATGTTTTCTTTCTATTTTAAACAGTACATATGATGTCGTTCCCGAGGGCTAAACGCAAAAATGGATTGTTTTTTGGTCACGTACAATACGTAGACACAGACTCCATTATAACGTCATTGAGTTACCCTTTCAGGACAATTTTGGAGAGTGATCTACAGTGGATTGTAAACTTCGAACCACATCAATTTGCCAAATTGGTTTTCACAAACGTCTTTTTATCAGAGGTATAGTCTGATTTTATTGACCTGTCAATTATGAATACATTAGAGGACTCATTTAAATATTCGATCCCACTTCGGTTTTGTCCGTGTAGTTTACGAGAATTAATGTAGAGTATATTAGTCATGGGTTGAAAGTCACACAAGCTTAATGTGAAGGTTTTCGTTACATGTAATTCACAGAAGTACAGTCGGTTAAGAGAATGCCTGATAATTGAGAGGTCTGTGGTTCGATCCTTACTGTTGCCATTGTTTAAGTACTCTTTCTTTATTTTTGTAGTATTTTTTAATGGAACAGATTTGTAGGTGTGTTTTACGGCATTAAAAAGACATTTATTGATTTTAATCCGTTTTAATGTTATTTAAAAAGAGTTAAGACATAACAAAATTAAGTAAAACATAATACATTTGTAAAACAAAACGAACAACATAAAATAATCATATATAGCTACAATAATGTTGAAAAAAAAAACATGGACCAACGCGGTCTGAAACTTAAAACACGTGTTGCACTTAGATTATAAACTTGTGCTTTACCATATTGCGCTATAACGCTGAGTACACTTAGTTTAGAGATACAAATTAAATTAAATTCCATCGTACAGCAAACATCTCACAATATACATTTATTATATGAAATAAGATGTTTTCTATGATGTGGAAAGCCCTTATCATTTAATAACAAGCATAAAGTTTTTTTTTATTTATAAACAAGATCTTTTTTTGACTTTGTAAATAATGAATAATTGCAGGTATTTTGTACGGATAATTAGATACGAATAAATTAGTGTTGTTCAACGTATTTTCAAAGTGTTCTGAGTGTTTCCGAATGTGTCGTCCGTAAATTTTGTTAATCTCTAATTAGTTATTGCTTTTACGTTTTTTAAACGTGATTGTTTATCAAAATGGATATTGAAAAGTAAGGTTTTTGTTAATGATCGTTACTTGAGTTCTTTTCATAGATTATGATATTCATTTATTGATTTTCTGCATCATACTTCTACCGAAGGCGTAATAAGGACAGAAGACTGTTGCGTTCTCCAGGAGCAGTCTGACCTGTTCAGTCTGAACTGTTGCGTCTTCCAGCATGGCGCTTTTTATTAAATGCCTTTTAACAAGCGTCCTGATATCTAATTATGACTCAAATATAAAACTGTTCCAAGATTGACAAAATGTCGGCGCCAACTTACTAATAAATTTTCTCAATTATGTAAGTCTAGGACATACGTTTGTTATTGATTTTAACCTGATTTCAATCCAACTTATAAAAATAAGAGCTATACAGCCCTCGCGGGGCAGCATCCCGGCTTTCCGCATACAATCACTATAACTAAAACCTAAAATGTAATGTACGAAATACATACTTATACTATTTCGTTTAAAATTCAATGATTTCAATATTTTTGTAGTATGCAACTGAAAATCTTAAAACAAATTGATTTTTTTATTTATTTTGTTTATTTGGAACTGGAAATAACTCATTTTTAACATTTAATGAATTGACGTTTAAGACGAAAAGCTAGGAATATAGTTATAAAAGATTGGCTAAGATAGTTTATCCTAGTCTGCTTCAGACTACTGTAGTAATAAAGCTTGATAAATGTCTGATTATTCTAGATGATCAGACGATTCTGAGTATGATACTTTACTGGTTTAGTTACATTGGACAAATCAGAATGGAATTATTTATTTTTAATAGAAAATAAGAAAATACTTTATTATATACTTATAAATGAAATATTGAGAAATATTGATGAAATAAAATGCGTTTTTTCATTTTCCGTATTTTCACTGTAAAAATTTATTTTTCACTGCAGTGAAACATATTTTCCGTATTTTCACTGGTGTCTTGCCGGACTACTTTCTTTTAAATTCTGCCAGTACACAAAATTTAAGGGAAATTTCTCAAATTTTATCGCAAAAAAGAGAAAAATGTATATAATAAACAGAAAATTCAAGTTTTTTTCTATAAATACATGATTTATTTTCATCTTGTGGCATGAAAATTACCATATTTCACTCGTGGCTACCGCCACTCATGAAATATTTATTTTCATACCACTCGATGAAAATAAATCATGTATTTATAGAAAAAACTTGAATATCCTCTATTTATTCCCCATTCATGCTTCTAATCGTTAGGATAGAATTTTATCATTAAAGAAATTAATGCTAATTGTTCCGCGTACGGCCTTTGTTTTTAACAGTTTGTGTGCAACTGCATTATTGGAGATTGAATTAGGTCACCTCGAATGGGGAGATACATATCAATATGTTGAAACAGCAATTTTATCTAGTCATGTAAGTCATGTAAACCAAAAAAATAAATGTAAGGAAAATTGCAGATCAGATACTGAAGAAAGAATTTGGTTAATATCTTGTCAATTTTTAAGAAATACATATCAGGAGAAATCCCCTCAAATTAATGATGTTAAGGACATTGCTAGATTATCACTGCAAATCTTTGCAACATGTTGGATTAAAGACAAGGTTAAATTAGATTATCCAGTGTTCAAGTCCGTGTCCGCATTACTCAATTGACTAATGATAGCAGGAAATGTGAAAATTAATGCAAATACCGTGGACATATTTCTTTAAAGAATAAATATCAGTATGTTAATACTATTGATAATGTTTTTGTTGACATTTAGTTGAATGTAACATTTGTATCGTCACAAAAATATAATGTCTATTTTTGATAAAGTTCCATTTATGACACGATGTGTCAATTCTGTCTTCTGTTCCATTGATGAAAGAAGGACTTTTCTAGAACTGAGTATGCCCGAATGTCACGCTGTGAATGGTTTCAATTGTTAACGATTTTCAATTGTTTTTAATTTAGCTCTTCCTCGAATTGATGATTTTGTTCACTTAGTAAAGTCCAAAGATCCAGGTTGTCTGGTCTGTTATGTAAAAGGGATTTACGCAAAGCTTATTGGCAAATCATTATTTGTTCTAGAAAATATGATATGTATCATTTTGTTGGAAAAACACTTATTATTTGATACTGTAGGTCATCCTCATATTATGTCAAAGAGTTAAAATGCAATACTTTATTATGTTTAACATTGGTGTTTTTATACGTAATTATCTCGATGATTTAGCGGGGGCTGAAATAAACCTGATTGCTCATTTTGCAAAATTAAAATTGTGTAATAGTTCAACATATGCTGAAAATAAATAGTAGAAAATATCTTAAACTAAATGAGAATTATTTATATCAGTATGTATGTATTCTAATTTCTGTATTTTTCTGTTATTTACCTGCATATCTATAGATAATTCCATTATACTCTTAATTTCGTTCATGTAATTTGCAAATATTTAAGTTGCGTTAGAACTTCAAATAAGGTATTGTGATTGATTTATATGAATTGAATAATTTTTTCAAATTTCAATCTTCGTGGAATTTTCAAAATGAAAGGTTTTAACACACTTTACCTTATAAATCATTTTATACTTTCCAAAATTAATTTGGCCTTAAAAACACAGGAAACGATTGTTATGATGTGTGGTCTTATATTTAATTTCTACAAGCACGCAATTCCTACTTCACTTAAAGATTTATGTGTAAAATAGTAGCCAAAATGTTTTTGGATTTGGAATACCAAAATTACAGCATCCCAAAGGAATAATAATTAAGAATTACTTAAGGTCAATTGGATCTTATATTGGCTTTTATCATATCACATGTTGGTAATTATGATGTTACTGGTCCTAGTTTAGAGGATGACATTATCGCAACTGATAATGATTTAATTTTCAATGATCGTCATTAATCTTCTGCTAGCATAATTTTGTCTGCTATAATTCCTTGTCTTTTAGATATTGGTACAACTGTCAACAGGGTTAAAAGAAATTAAACAATAAGCTGGTATCATTATGAATTTCTAGAATTATTTCTGTTATTACAAAAAGTATTTTCTTAGATTTTGCTCTCCCAATCATGAGTATTAAGCCACACAAGATGGTGGTTTACATCTTGATTTTGAAGATACTGGGCGCTTAAAGTATTTTACTATAAAAACTTTTGCACACTTAAAGTAATAAGTGTTTGTTGAGAGATGCATTTTGCCTAAAAGTTTAGTCTTTGAAGAAGTAAAACTCATTTAAATTAATATCTCTAAGTTGCATGCGAGTTGAAATCTTTTTTATAATAATTATCAAATTCTCGTGTTTCTTTTGAATTTTGATGACGTCTGTTTGTCTTTGCTTGGAACACTTGGTTTCTCTGGAAAAAGTGATCTCGAATGACCGTTTTGTTGTTGCGAATGTTATAAGGAAGCCTCTAAGTGGGGTTGTTCTTTTGTATTTATTATAATAATGAATGAAGTTGACCTTAATAACTCTCTTTCATTAGTCGATTTTAGTTAATGGTTTACGTAGGCCACGTACAACTTTCTATTTTTGCTTATATCTTTGGCGGTAAATATTTTCGTCTTTTTCTTCACTAAATATTTAAGTCAATTCTTTATTTGGTTGACACAATTAATCAAATTTATTGATTTTTTTTTACAAATTTGCGCATATTTTGATGATAAAAGTTTTGTTTATGGACAGGTGTGTTCATCAGTAGTCATGGTACTCAATCCGACAGGAGTTTTCGTAAATTTATCATAACGAAATATCTAAAGTCTACAATTTCTTTATGTTAGTATAAATAAGTAGAAACGATAATATTGAAGAAAGGGAAAAAATTGCCTCGGATATGAAAGAGACTTAGCTACTAACTGTTAAAAATGATTAATTCGGAAATGAAGAGCAAGAATCTGTACAGACGGAAAAGCACGTGTCTATATTAAGCTGATACTTGCGAACTCTTATTTACTTAAATAATATTTCTGATAATTTAAACTAAAGTTTTTCTTTTGCTTTCTTTCAAATAGAAACTTAAAATTTATTTAATTTATTTCGTTCTTTTTTCAAATTTGTTAAGCCTATTTCTAATAAAACTTTTATTCGTTATCATTGTTTACCATGATTACCTTTAAAATTAAAACATTTACTCGTCCTTGCTCTTTTCTCGCCAGAAACGTTTTCAATATCTGAATATGTTCCTAAGTTCTTTTATGTAATTATAGTTGAATACATGTACTAACTTTGTTTTTTATAATATTGCATATTCGAGCAGTGTGCACTCGTTGTTAAAACATCGCAAATGGATAACAATGAATTTATCATTGATGAGAATTTCAACAACGAAGTATTTGTAATAGAAACAAACACAGGTTTGTTGTTTATAACAACTTCTCTAACAAGAGTATGGCCACCAGCAATCAAATTCCGGGCAATCATAACTGCTGAAGGTATACATTATTTTTATTGTATATAACATTAAATATTTCAATTCGATTATGATTGAAATTCAACATAACATCCTTGCAGTTTTTATCTTATAACACTTCTTGAAATGTTTATTCTTCAAGGTTTATAACTAAAAATATATAGGTACAAATGAGCAAGTAATTTGGAAAATTTACTCAAAACAAGAGGCGATGGAAAATGGACTATAATATTGTTTTCTTCTAACACATAATACAGTTTGTAAGGCAAGCGTAATCATTAATATTTAATATAGCACCTCAAGCTCCAAAAGTTAAAACATACTATTTTTCACGTGTGTTTCTCAAGCATAAAATAAAGTTGTCCAACGAAATCCGTAACGTTTTCAAGGAACGTCATGACAGTAATCAATAAAACAGACTTCGTTGGAAAAATGTGTGAATGAAAATCCAGTTTAAAGTATGGTAAATGACTTTAAAAGCAAAGGTTTAAAGTGAGGAAACAGTAAATGAATGGGTAACTTTTGAACACATTTTGAAAGTTATAGAGCAGTGAAACGGATAGTGTTGAGAGAATATTACTGAAACACATGCATTTCATTTTATGTTTATTGTCATTTTATTAGTTTCTCTGGAACAATTTGACAAACTCCTTTGTATGAACTTAATAATGCATGTTTTCAGTTTACAATGAAATTCATATCTAATGAAAATTAAGTGTTTTTAAAATATTGTTTACACAATTTACGAAAAGGTAAAGAAACCTTGCAAATGTCACATGCTTACACATTTTTATTGTGTTTTGACCTTTCTATTTATTTGTCACCTTTTTCAAATTTAAGTATAGATAAACTTCCGTACAGTAAACTTATTGCGCTCAAGATTCAAGTCTTACTAATTCGTATTTTGTTCTAATTTAACATTTAATTATTAACAGTTAATTTTGCGAGTGTAATAGTGTGTAATTGTTGTAATATATTGTCATAAAAAATAAATGGCATTAATATTTTCTTCAAGAAACCGCAGCCTGTCTTTCAATCGATTCACTTAGTCATTCAAAAAGAACTAAACAACGACATGAAATTTGCACTGAGCCAACAATGATCCTTACAACTCTTTCGGCTTTAAATCTCTGTCGAGATTGTGAAGAAAAGTTCACAATTCAAGCCGGGAAACATCAAAGCATTGATATTACCTTCATATATTGGGACTCAACGCGGGACTGTGTGTCCGAATTATATTCCGGTAAGTATATTCAAATTCTTCCAACTTCAGATATATTTTTATTTTATAGCTTATATAGTGCTATTTTTACGGATTATTTGTGTAATATAATGTAAGGTTATGGTACTGTTTACTGAATTGATGACCACCTGAAAATCATACATGCTGGTTATTTATTTAACATATTACAATGAAATGAGCGAATACGTCTTGTTATACAATTTTAATAAAAATGTTAGTTACTTGGTTACGAGCCTTCTAGATGATAGAGAAGAAACAATGTAGCGGAGAGAGACTGAAGAACAAAACTGGTAACCAATAAATTTCAACAAGGCGAAAAATAAACCTTTTTGTCCTGCCCTGCCCGAATCATGACTGTGAAACCAATATTTAGGAAATAATGTTGGTCTACGCTTGTAACACGAATGAGACCTTGTCATGTAATTGAAATGAAACAAATGATACGAATATGTGTGTTTGTGTGTGGGTGTGCGTGTGTTTGTGTGTGTGTGTGTGCGCGCGTGTGTGTGTGTGTGTTGTTTCCTTTCATACTTTAATCCTATTCATTTCCTTCTTTCAAGACGGTTCAAATGAGGTCATTCAATGAGTTAATGAAAATCCTTTATCATGTTCTAGTCTAATTTATCCTTCTATTTCTTTTGTAAAAAGTTACGCTACTAAAAGGAAATATTTTAACTTAGCCTATACAAGTGACAAAGGTAATCCTTCTGCCTCTGATCTAAGCCTGAGTCTTGACATAACACTATGTCTCCAAAATTGAAGCGTAGTGGCAAAATCGTCTGCCATATATTTCGGCACTACGACACTCTATAGTTCGTTTGGATGTTGCGTCACAATGATGTCTGACGGAGCACTAAGTGACAATTTGACAAATCTCTCAAGTCATTTGCATCTTGAAGTTTGTAATATGAAAGTTATCTTTACTGGGCAAAAACAGAATTAAGACAATGTACAAGTAATGATCAATCGATAGCTGAACATTATAGTTACGGTTTTTTTCTGATTTTTGTTGGAAGACAATTTCAATCATGTTCTTTCTTTAACACCACTCGCGTATGTTGCAATAGTTCCACTTTCTTAGTGTCTCTCGAAAAACCGTATAACATCAAACTGTATGAAGCTTTTTTTTGTGAAAAGTGTATGGCTTTAGCACGGATTAAGATATAAGAAATAAAGAAGGATATTGAAATTTTACCAAATGTATCATCGACTTCCATGCTGGCACGACATTTTGCAGAACACAAAAAGGACATTGAAACTTTGATAAAACGACTGCTGACAACATTTAACAGGACATTCAATAGAACATTTTAGAAATTACCGAATGTTGTGCTAGCAGGGGATTCGGTAAAATTTCAATTTTCTCCTGCATGTCCAGCCGAAGATCCTGTCTGCAGAATATTGCTAACATTTCGATGTCCTCCAGATAGTCTTGCCGAATTTAACAGAATTTCGGTCAAACTCCTCTGTCCTGCTGAATTTCCTGCTAAATGTCGCGCCAGCATGGAATTCGGTGGGATTTAATTTTCTACCTTCAATTGTGTTTCCGTCTCCATACCCCATTTAATTGTGTATTTGTTTCAAGATTACCTTGAATTATGTCTATATCTCCTGATCATTTTAAATTGTGTCACCGTCTCCATATTAATTTTAATTGTGTTTCCGTCAACAGACCATCTGGAATTGTGTTTTCGTTTCCAATCTACCTTCAATTGTGTTTCCGTCTACTGGCCACCTTTTATTGTATTGTTTATCCGTCTCCAAGCCAACTTCAATTGTGTTTTGGTTTCCAGACGACATAGAAATGGCTATCTGTCCCCTGACCACCTTCAAATGTGTTTCCGTTTCCATACCTACTTTTTATTGTGTCTTTGTGTCCAGACCGCCTTCCGTTGTGTTTTCGTTTCCAGACCATCTTCATATCTTATCATCTCCAAACACCATGAATTGTCTTTCGTCTTCCGACAACCTCCGATAGTGTTTCTGTTTTCATACCACTTTCAATCGAGTTTCCGTCTCTGGACCAACTTCAATTGTGTTTCCGTCTTCAGATCACCTTAAATTGGCCTGAATATGTCCAATAGCGATTCCATTTCTTTACCACTTTCAATTGTGTTTCGTTACCAGACGCCTTCAGCTGTGACTGGTTACCCCGTACTTCACTTCAGTGTTGTTATATTTTTCTGGTCCTTCCGGATCATTGATGCCAGCACTATTGAATGTTGAGAATTGAGTACCGTTCAAGCCGGTGCTAGGGGGTGTAAGGGATGTTGCACTTCTTCATTATCCTTCATGTACAGACTCAATCAAACCGATCTGCAATTCTTATGTAATTATGTTGTAATTAATGCTTCCGAGGAATCACTTTGTTTACAGATTATTTTTGGTTTCAACACCACCTTCAGTCGTGACTCCGTCTACTGACAACCTTCAATTGTGCTTTTGTTTCCAGACCACGTTCAGTTGTATTTCCGTCTCCAGACCAACTGCCATTGTTTTATCCGTCTCCGACCACCTTCAATTGTTTTCTTGTCTACAGACCATCATGAATTGTGTTTCCGTTTCCAGACGACCGTGAACAGTGTGTTTTTGTCTCTTGATCATCTCAATTAGAGTTTTCGTTTCCAGAAAACCTTTAATACTGTTTGCGTCTTCAGTCCACCTTAAATTGTGACTCCGTCTCATGACCACCTCCAATATCAATTTCAATTGTGTTTCCGTCGCAAGACCCCTTTAAACATGTCTCTGTTTCAATATTACCTTCAATTGTATGTCCGTCTACTGACAATGTTCAATTGTGCTTCCGTTTCCAGACCATTTTCGATTGTACTTCTGTTTCCAGACTATCTTCAATTGTGTTTCCGTCTCCAAACGACATGAATTGTGTCTCCGTTCATTGACCATGTTCAACTGTTTTTCTGTTTATCGAACATTTTGAATTTTGTTTCCTTTCAATTGTGTGTCCGTCTCCAGACGACCTTAGACAGTGAGTTTCAGTCTCCTTAACATCTCAATAAGTGCTTCCGTTTCCAAACCATCTTCAATATTGTTTGTGTCTCAAGGCTAAATATAATTCTGTAACCGTCAGTCTCCAAATTATTTTCAATTTATCTACGTCTCTAGACCACTTTGATTAGTGTCTACGTCACCTGACTATCTCAATTAGTGTTTCCGTTTCTAGATCACCTTCAATAGGGTTTTCATCTCCAAACCACTTAATTTTTTTCTCCATTCCATGACCACTTTTAATTTCGTCTCTGTTTACTGACCATCTTCAGTTGTGATAACAACTCCAGACCATCTTCAATTGTGCTTCCGTTTCCAGACCAACTTCAATTATGTTTCCATCTCCAGACGACTTTGAATTGTCTCTCCATCCCCTGACAAATTTCAGTTTCCGTTTTCGTCACCAGTCAGGCTTCAATTGTTTTTCCGTTCTAGACCATCTTTAATTGTTTCTCCGTCTCAAGACTACCCTGTGTTTCCATTTCCGGACTTGAATTGTGTCTTCGTTTCCAGACCACTTTCAATTGGTAATCCGTTTATTATTTTTATAGATCACATTCAATTGTTTTATATATCCAGACCACCTAGAATTGATTTTCCTTCTACGGGCCACCTTCAATTGTATTTCCGTCTCAATACCATATTCAAGTATAATTCCGTTTCAAGACTACCTTCAAATACGTTTCAATCTCCTGACCATCTTCAATTCTGTTTCCGTCTCCTGACCACCTTCAATTGCGTTTCCATCTCCAGACCACTTTCAATTGTCACTCCGTCCCCTTACCACCTTGAATTGTGTCCCCGTTTCCATACCACCATGAATTGTGTCACCGTGTCCTGACCACCTTTAGATGTGATTAAGTCACCAGACCACCTTGAATTGTGTCTCCGTCTGCAGACCACTTTCAATTGTGTTTCCGTCCCAAGACCAGACCACCATCAATTCTGTTTACGTCTCCTGACCATTATCATTTGTGTCCACTCGTCCCCTGATCACCTTCAATTGTGTTCCCGTCTCCAAAACACCTTGAATTGTGTCTTCGTCTACAAACTACCTTCTATTGCGTTTCCATCTCTAGACAACCATCATTTGTGTTTCCGTTTCCAGACAACCAATTATGTTTTCGTCTCCAAAATACCCTGAATTGTATTTTTAAAATCATTATTAACTAGATCGCCTTAAGTTGTGTCTCCATCTCCAGACCACCTTTAATAGTGAGTTCGTCTTCTGACAACCTTCATTGTTGTTCCTCTTCAAGACCAACTTGAATTGTGTCTTCCTCATAAGACCTACTTTAATTGTGTTTCCGTTTCCAGACCACCTTTTATTGTGTTTCGGTCTCGAGACAACTTTAATTTGTGTCTCCGTCTCATGACCAACTTCAATTTGTCTCTGTCCTGAGACCACCTTCAGTTGTGATTACATATAATCATCTTAGCATGTTCCTTCTCAAGGATATTGATAGAAAATCATACTTATTACACTTTAACGACTGTGTTCTGTGTTCATTGATATTGGAATCTAAGACAAATGAGGTAACCCTTTTAAACACAGAAAACAGAGTAAACACTACTTTATGTCACAATGCTGAAAAAAGAAGATTTTTCAATAAAGCCAGCGCTAACCGTATTTTTATTTGAATACTTGCACAATAGTTTTGCCATTTAGAGCACTAGTCATTCTTTTTAAATATTGTGAAAATTTCTGAGTATTCTGTCCCGTGTTACAATTTCATGTTTTAGTACTTTCTTACAGATGACGTTATATTAACATCAGAAGTCGTCATCAAGGATGGTGATGATGTGGTAGAAACATATTGTTTTCAACCAGAGAAATACAAATCAAAAGGGTCTATGATTCATATTCAGATTCTGGATACACCTCTGCCGAATAGGGTAATTAAAGGATTTAGGTTACAGTATAAAATATCAAAGCATTCTCTTCAAAGATATACTACTACACATACTACTAAGTATGATAGAAAGTCAGGTATGTTAGTTAAATCAAATATGCTTAAATAAAGAGAGTATCGTTTAATCTATACAACAACATGGTTAATTATCACTTCTTACATTTTTGATGACAGATATGTTCAAAGGGAAATATTTGATTTGAACGAACTTCATTATTTACGTAGTTCAAAGCAAAGTTAAAATTTAAAAAGTGATCAAATGATTTAAACTTTTATTTAAAACTCTACCTCAATTATTGTTCTAATAGTAAACTTTTTTCATATTTCTTTGAACTTTTTTCATATTTCTTTAAAAAAATCATTCATCAGTGTCGTTTGTATAACAGTGATGAAAAACTTTTTTTGGTATTGCATATCAGTTCTAAAAAACAATAAATTATGTTTAATTGAACATGTTTTTTCCCAAACTTAAGCTTGTTCATGGTTTTTCCGAAAATGCTACACGGTATTCTTTGAAAAGGTATCCTGGGATATTGCAAACACTAAATGCCGTAATGACAATGAACATCTTGTGACTATTGCATCAAAAAAAGAAATGAATTACGTCCAATACTTACTTCGAAGTTTGTTGTATATGCAAGAAGAAGACGATGATAAACGAACACTTAATGGAGCACACATTGGTAACTTCTTCACTTAAACGTGCAGTTATGCGCATATTTATGTATTTGTTTTCCTTTCAACACTTACATGTGTGTGTGCGTGTGTGTGTGTGTGTGCGTGTTCGCGTGTTAGTTGGTGTGTGTGATATCCTTTTAAAAATTATTTTAAATATCTATTATTTTATACAAATTTTGCAATGTTTTGCTATTTTCAAAAAAAAAACGTTCTGGCAGCACTGGTGCACTGTGACATACAAATTCCTGTTTAAGTTTTCATAACGCATTTACTATTGTTTACTTGCAAAGAAAATATGAATTGGTTGAACGTAAAAGTACATTTTTTTCTAAATGTTTAAGTAAAATAACATAAGGATGTTAGTTAGAATATTTTACTTTCGTTATCCTCACTGTCCATACTGTAACCCTATGTATATGACTACATGTGCCACATAAATAAACAAGATTTATAAATTGTGTTGATCTGAAAATAATATCGTAGTGTTAGATAGTTTGAAATATTGTAAGCCCCTACACGTATTTATTGTAGGTGAATTACGTAAAATATGAAAATGCTTATAGACTCAAAAATCAATAAATCTTATCCCCGAACCTTACTAGTAAAGTCTCTCACCGTTAATTTTCGCAGTCAAGTTTCAGTATCAAAGTACAAGAAGCATGAAAAGACATACACGATGAAATATATAAGACTCAACGTGGTGTTTGCTTTGAATGTCTATTGACAATTTACTTTCAATGTAGAACAAAATCTACGTTAAGTGGCTTTAAATAAAATATATCATATATTTGCATCTGTAAAATACTGTTTGCCTTTTTAAGGTTTGAGGCGTGTAAATGACAGGCAAATGAGAATGAAGTTCAAATGGATAAATAACAAAAACGTTACTTTCAGCAATTGGTAATATTTTGTCATAGTTTTCTGTTACCAATACCTAAATGTATCAGCTGTTTATACTCAATAGAATTTAATTGCAGGCAGTTTTTGCGACTTCATGTTTTATCTTGTTATGTAATAATGATTGTCTATATACAAAGAAAATCAAAAGATGAATTATGTTATTTATGTCAGTTTTAAACCGTAAAAAGTTATGTTTAATTTGCAATCGGTGAATTATCATTATAATAAAAATAATTTTTCCTGTAATAGATAAAGCAGGTGATGCAATTTTAGCAAGGCCTACTAATGTAGATAAATAATTTGTAATTGAACGCTTATGTTTTCTTTCAATTGTGTGTACCATCAAATTTTATTATAACCTTCACTCCATATATTATATAGATAAAGCCATAAAGATGGTGAATCGAACGTTTAAAAAGTTTTAATTATATATTTTGCAAGTAGTAGAAAGCTATCTATTTCAACTACTTTAAATGCTACTGTACACTACTTTGTTACGATAAAACATTTTACGATTTTTAAAATTATATGTTAACCGCTATAAAACATTATCATGACAGGAAAAAAAGGCAACCGTCAACTGGGGATTGTACTCGTACCTCATTCGAGTATTTTAACACAGAAGAGCATTGGGAAACAGAAGATTGTTATGATAGTTTGGTCGATTTTTACATCTGTGAAAACACGTTTTTAGGGGTCACAACTAAACGTATGTGTCATATATTTCTTTAAATTTCAATTATCGTTCATAGAGATTACAAAAATTACTTTATTTATTATTTACAAATCGAAAGAATATAATACAGTAAACTTCACATATAGCGAACACGGTTATAGCGAACTTCCGGTTATAAGGAACAAAATTTTTTGGCCCGAATTTTGCCCTTCTTTATTTAATGTAAAAAATTACGGTTACAGCGAACACGGTTATAAGGAATTATCGCTTATAAGGAACTCATTTTTTAGTCCCAATGCCATAAAAAGTACAGAAAATTACACTTTTATAACGAACTCCAAATATTGGCTATCCGTAAACAGATCACGCATTTTCTACTTTCGTTTTCATCGGCACAGATTACAACTTGGCCGAATGTAGCGGATATATTAGGAACAAATAATGACGATGACAGTCAATCTTCCGAAGACGAGATCTATTTAGATTATCTGCCGGTTGTGTCAAAAATGAAGCTATTGATTGTTTGCACTAGATTAGGTCATACTTCGAGTCTAATGCACATGTTGAAAAAACAGATTTTAAAAGTTTATTGGATATTGAATTTAACCTGAAGAGTTGTAAACATACCCAAACTAAAATTAGCGACTTTTTCACAGCAAAGTGATTATTTTTGTGCATGATACTGTATCGTTAATAAATAACAATATTGCATATATGGTACATATCATATAATTATCTTATAGATATACTTATACATAAAAATTATATTTAAAAGAAACAACATTGCAATTATTCCTTAATCAATATAAGGGAGACAACAATGACGAACTCAAGAGTTATTTCTCTTAATCAAATGCTCTTCTAAATGGAGGACGATGGTAAACAATTAGTTCGTTATATGTAAAACTGTTCGCTATAAAAACTTCTGATACAAGGAACTAATTCGCTATATGCTTACAAGGAACTCCGGATATAAGGAACAGATTTTGAATGTCCCAATGAGTTCGTTATAAGCGGAGTTTACTGTAATAACATCGTTTTAATTCTTGCAAACAACAAGTTGTCTGTCTTGCAAGACTGTTTTAGCAACATTATTGATTATTCATGAATATCGGACTGCTGTTTTCGTTAGTTTTGTCCAGTTTTGCCCATGCTGGCATGGGGGCGAAAAATGAGTCGCGTGCAATAAAATGACTTGCTGAGGATGACACAATAACGCCTTAATGAATGAAATATGATAAACAAGATCATCAAGGAAAGGCGGCGTTCAATGAACACAGCCCCCACCCGACCCAGCAACAAAAGTCAGCGGCAAGGAGCCCAGGAGGACCCAAACAAAAACAGGACAGGGCAGTTGCAAGTTCATACGCTGTTGTATGAAAATAGTTTTTGGTGTAGTGACACAAATTTCATTGGAATCTTGTTTTAGTAAGGTAAATAATTCAAAATATAATGGTATATGGTAGAATATGCAAGAAAAAGATCTGACATATGTTTGCAGTTTGGATCGGTATAGTCCGACTTTTTACAACCCGCCCATGGGCGGTCACCTTGATACGAATATTCCGATCTAAACCAAAACATTTGTCCTGATATAAAACAAAACAAAGCTATATTTCGACTAAGCTAAAATTAGGATTTAAATAAATTTAATACATGTACTTTTAAAATATAACATCTGACCTGAACGCTTGACAAATAACAATGTTTTTATTATAATATCTGTTATAGAACTTTAATGCTTTCCAGGTGATATCAAAGAGCAATATATGTGTGAAATGTTTGTTAAGAAAGACTTTCTGACATCACCATACTCCGGTAAAACTTGTCAAAATTGGTTTTATCTATCTGGCAATGCCAAAAGTGATTTTGACAACAACTTTCCCTCCTTAAGGGACACTTTAGAAAATTCAACTTTGTGTAAGGATCCCTCTGCACAAGGTGTTTTATGGTGCTATGTTAGTAACTATGACAAACCAATGCGGGAACCATGCTTTTTGCATCGTAAGTTATATACATGTACTTATCATGTCTCCCAAATTTTGTGGGAGACATATTGTTTTAGCATTCGCCGTCAGTCTGTCCGTCCGCCGGTACGTCCGTTTATCCGCTCTAACGGGACAATAATTATGTGGCTAGAGGGACAAGAGGTAACTGTTCTTTCTCTTTGATGTCATTAATTCCGTAATGTTGTATGTGGATTTTGTCATTTATGTGGCTAAAAGGATTAATAGAGAGAACAATAGGGTAGCGACATTTTTACCGTCTGTCCGCATATGGCTTGTCCCGCATTCACAGGTCAAACTACTGATGGGATTTCAACCACACTTTACAGGAGTGATCAGTTCTATCCCTATGGTTGCAAATCACGGCATGTTCCGCTTTGTTGCACAAAATGGCTGTCACAGCTAAAAATAGTAAAATCTTGTCCAGCTTTCACCGGACAAACTACTGGTGGGATTCAAACTAAACTTTACAGGCGTGATCAGTACCATCCTTAGTTGTGTACCTCGCCAGTACATTCCGCTTTGTTGCACAAACTGGCCACCAGAAAAAATAGAAGAATCTTGTCCGGGCTTGCCGGCTTTTACAGGTCAAACTACTGGTGGGATTTCAACCAAACTTTATAGGAGTAATTAGTACTATCAAAAGTTGTGCACTCTACCGGCACGTTTCGCTTCGCTTCACAAAATGGCCGCCAGTGATAAGAATAGAACAATCTCGTCCAGCCTTCACAGGTCAAACTACTGATGAGATTTCAACCAAACTTTACAGGAGTGATCAGTACCATCCTTAGTTGTGCACATTGTCAGCACTTTCCGCTTCATTGCACAAAATTGCCACCAGGTTAAAAAAGGAAACTTTTATTCGGCGTTCACATATCAAACTACTAGTGGTATTTCAACCAAACTTTAGGAGAGTGATCAGTACTATCCTTAGTTGTGCACGCCAGCGGCACCTTCCGCTTTGCTGCACAAAATACCAGAGCTAAAAATAGAAAAATCGTGTCCAGCTTCACAGTACAAACTACTGGTGGGATTTAAACCAAACTTTACAGGCGTGATCAGTACCATTCTTAGTTGTGCAACTCGTCAGTACATTCCGTTTCGTTGCAAAAACTGGCCACCAGAGCTAAATAAAACATTATTCACAAATAGAACTGCCGGATGGATTTCAATGAAACTTTACAGGAGTGATCAGTACCATGCTTTTTTATGCACATTGCCAGCACTTTCCACTTCGTTGCACAAAATTGCCACCAGAGCTGAGAATAGAAATATCTTGTCTAGTCTTCACAGGTCAAACTACTGGTGAGATTTCAACCAAACTTTACAGGAGTGATCAGTATCATCCTAAGTTGTGCACATTGTCAGCACTTTCTGCTTCATTGCACAAAATTGCCACCAGGTTAAAAAAGGAAAATTTTGTTCGGCGTTCACAGGTCAAACTACTTGTGGTATTTCAACCAAACTTTACAGGAGTGATCAGTACCATCCTAAGTTGTGCACGTCAGCGGCACCTTCCGCTCTGCTGCACAAAATGACCACCAGAGCTAAAAATAGAAAAATCGTGTCCAGCTTCACAGGACAAACTACTGGTGGATTTAAACCAAACTTTAGGAGAGTGATCAGTACCATCCTTAGTTGTGCACGTCAGCGGCACATTCCTCTTCGTTGCAAAAACTGGCCACCAGAGCTAAATAAAAAGCTTTCACAAGTAGTACTGCTGGATGGATTTCAATGAAACTTAACAGGAGTGAGCTGTACCATCCCTTATTGTAAATATCACAGTCATTGTTTCGCTTTGTTGCACAAATGGTCATCAAAGTTATAAATACAAAAATCTTGTGTAGCTTTCAAAAGTCGAGCTGCTGATGGCATTTTAATGAAAACTGTACAGAAGTGTTCAGTACCATACCTCATATTGCTCATATCACGGCATGTTCTGCTTCGTTGCACAAAATGACTTCCGGAGCTAAAAGAAGAAAATTCATTTTCGGCTATATCAGGTCAAACCGCTGATGGGATTTCTACCAAAATTCACATGATCCATAGTTTTGGGAGGCATAGGTTTTTGTTACAAAACCTTTATTTGATTTAAATCTGACAAAAGTTATTATTATACATGCACTTTGAAGATATTTTTTTCCATATGGAAGTCGATATTGTTCTGTTTTATCCCATGACGCAGTACTATTTTATTTTTATTTTTCTCATGTAACGAATTGTTTGATTTACAGTCATTTAAAATTAATATTAATAAGCTACATCAAGATATTAATTGAAATAAAATTGAATACACGTGTAAAGAAAATAAATGTGTCAATTTAGACACTACAGAATACGAATCTTGCATTGATGTATTATCAACTATGTCGAAAAATATTAAGATTCCTGTTTATTTTCGTATTATTTTCCAAAACGAACAAAACGCATAACAATTATTTAGATATATTATATCTTACCCTTCAGTCGAAGGTAACCTATCTATGCCTGAAAAGAGGGTATCAGAGGCAAAATGCTCCGATGGCTCTTCAATACCTGTAATGAATTGGTGTGATAGGACTTTTGACTGCATAGACTTTACGGATGAATTGTCATGTCAGAACAGTACTAAAGGTTTGCACCGCGTTTTTCATTATCTTAAACATGCTACTGTTGTTCTTAAGTTAAGTTTCTATGGCATATATGTGCAACTTACATTTGAACAGTAAGAAAACTTCGTTCCACATTCGCGCTCATAAGTGTGCTTTTGGATGCGGTTTTCTATAAATTGATGTTCACAAAATATTATATAAATCCAATTCGTATCAGAAAAGCTTTTGAAATGCAAACAGAGAAAAATGAAAATATGTGTATGCTGTGAGATATAAACAACTTAGCATACAAGGGGCGTCCGTGGCCGAGTGGTTAAGGTCGTTGACTTCAAACCACTTGCCCCTCACCGCTGTGGGTTCGAATCCCGACAGGGACTTTGGATTCTTTCATGTGAGGAAGCTATCAAGCTAGCTTACGGAACGTCGGTGGTTCTACTCAGGTGCCCGTTCGTGCCTGAAATAATGCACGGAAGGGCACCTGAGGTCTTCCTCCACCAGTAAAGCTGGAACGTCGCGATATGACCTATACTGTGTCGATGTGACGTAAAACCCAAAACAAAAGAGAAAAATGTTTCATTTTACCTCTTAAGCTCAATTGAGCACAAAGTGCTCAGGGCATGTGAATGCAGTTTGTCAATTGTCCATTGTTAGTCACAATTTCTTTAAACATCATCTAAACCATTACCAGTTGGTTAATGATCGTAGGTGGCCCTGTACAGCATTTGTGTAAATGGTTTCAAGCCTGATGCATAAGTAGAGCAGAGAAACTAGAGCTAAAATGTTCATTTTTTAATAGTCTTCTTCTCCAAAACGGAATTCAAATGCTTTTCTAACTAACCAATAACTTCCGAAGTCTCTTGTAAAATTCCAACTTCAGAACCAACAATTCTTAACAACAAGGATTCATTCATTAAGAGCCAGTTAAGTCAGATGAGCGAAATGTTGGCCATCATGAGTCAGTCAAATGATGTTTTATTTAAGATCACGATCTCACAATTATTGGCACTTCAATGATGCAATCTAATTTTCCCAGACGACTTAAACCAGAGGCATATTTCACCTGTGAACAAAGCAAAGAGTGGATATCTACATTAGCTAAATGTGATAACGTCATAGATTGTCTAGATGCTTCAGACGAAGTAACTTGTTTTAACGGTAATATTGGTATTTGGTTTTTAAATTTACACGTTTCATTTACATTTAAAATTTATAAGAAAAGATTTAAAACGGACAATATAAGAGACTTCCGGTCTATGTTATTTGTTCTGCATGATATTAACTACTAATACATATATCTATGTCAGTTTCATATGTACATGATTTGTTTTTTTTATTGGTTAGTTCCTACACACGTACACTTACACACACAGAGACACATACGCGCGCATTATCATTTAGGTTAATCAAGTGTCTAAGCAGTGACTTGGTGTTTATTTACACTATTTCTGTTTTGTTTGGAATACGAACTTATTATGAAGTTTATCTTGCAACTGCTATGGTAACTGAGGATAACATTTTTTTATTATTTTTATATGAAGTTAGTAACCTGACATCAAAAATAACCTCGTCTATGTCAATGGACTTGTTTCAATAGCTTTAATTGTAATTTATATCAGCCATTGATTTATACAATTTTATATTTCACGCCCAGATAAGTCTTGAATCAAGAAGTTATTTTTATCATTTTAATTTTGTTTTAAATTACGCACAAATTAGACCACCAATTTAATGATTTGACGTCATAATTTATTTCGCAAATTAAATCGTCAATGCTCACGCCATATCAGAAGGGCGACATTACGAATATGACACGTAAAAACTGTTGTCTATTTGCATTATATATGTCTTATTTTCGCAGTTTCATATTGTTGTATTTTGACTTTTTCGCATTGTTGTGTTTTGGCTTCTTCGCATTGTTGCATTTTTACATTTTCGTAGTTCCGCCTGTAGCAATCATGTTCATATACGATTTATATATTATCCACAATTACATTCTAATGATTCAATCACATTTTATAAAATGTAACAATCTGAAAAATGCATCAATGCAAAAAATGTAACAATGTGAAAGAGCGAAAATGCGAAGAGACTCTTCGTGTTTTCACATTTTGTATTTTGAAGACAAAGAAGCGAAAATACGACAGATAGAATGCGAGTATACGACAGATTTTATATGCCGTATTTTTGCCCTTCTTTTGTCGTATTTTCGCTTTTTTCTTGCTTCGAAAATTCGAAAAAGCGAAAACACGAGAGTCCACCTATTTCGTTTCTTTGTGTTTTTGAATTTTGGTATTTGAGGTGAAAAAGCGAAAATACGACATGGCGTAAAACAGCCACCATATGAATTTGACATGTCCAGGAAAATAGTGCAGATTTATGTGATTGATAGGCAAGTGATATTATTGGATCGATTTTTAAAGGTAGAATTTTATTTTATTTCAATCTGTTGTATCTATTATCAAAGGGAAGAACAAATGGCCGCCATTTACAAATTCTTAGTTTCTGGGGCTGAGGAATTTTTTGGTTTCCTATTTTTTTTTAAACAAAAAAAATATCCTTTCTACAAAATGCTCTATTTAAAAGTAAACCATTTTGTACTTTTGATATTTATTATGTGTTACATAATAAAAAGAAAAACAGAAAGGGCCGATATTAGCCTCGCCTGATAAAATTGATATCAAAAGACATTAGCATATTATTCTAAAATAAATATGCCCGCATATCAAGCGCTGCTATCAGGAGAATATCATACGTATTCATAAATTCATTAATTCTGCTTCATGCTTCATTCATGCTTTTGTCTTTTGATATCAATTTTATCAGGCAAGGCTGATATAGGCTAGAAAGGGACAAGGCTTGTTAAGCCCATTCTGCCCATACCAGCCGAGCCTGATAAAATTGATATCAAAAATAAGTAGCATTATTTCCTATTTATTATGTTACACATGAATACTGTCAAAATTATTGTCAACATAAGCTACTTTAGAAAAAGAATTTTGTAGAAATGGGCATTCTTGTTCAAAGAAATAATTCTTGACAACAAATTCCTCCGCCCCAGTACTACGAATTTGTAAATGACAGCCATTTTCTTCTTTCGACTCGAGATTATGTCCGCTGCAACGTAATGCAACATAATTAAATAAAATAAGGTTCTAACCTTTAAACATCGATCCAAAATTATCCCTAATAATCACACAAACTTTACTTTTGGAATTGCCAGTAATCTGAAGCTACAATACATGATAAAATTGAATTTTCTGAACGAAACTCTTCGCTAACTTATATAAAAATTAATCATCTGGCGAAACATAGTAAACACAAATTTACAAGGTCTCCAAGAAAACCCTCTATAGAGCATTTTTTGTAATGTTTATAATATGACAAAGACATCGATGATATCATTTGCGAAATAAATTATGACGTCATTTTATTAAATTTGTGCTTAACTATTTGCTATTTAATTTGTTGGTAATTCAAAACGAAATAAAAATACTAAAATGGCATATGATTCGAGACTTGTAAGAGTATGAGATAAAATTGTAGAATTTCAAAGGCTGATAAAATATAAGCTATTGAAAAAAGAAGTCATTTGAAATTGGCGGGGCTTATTTTTAATATCAAGTTACTTACCTGAAATCAAAATTAATCAACAGACAAATTGTCATCGGGTTATAATTATAGCAGTTACATGATAATATTGATTAGGATGTGATGACAATGAATTCCTTTGTGATGGCGGACATTGTATAAAAATTAGTCACGTGTGCGATTTTATATCCGACTGTGCGGACGGTACAGATGAAAAATGTGGTAAGTAGTAAAATAAGAAGTATGAAAATAAATCATTCGTAAGATTGCTAGATTTTACCTTGGTGTCAGGTCTTTAAGATTATATTTGAGTTTTTACTTTTCCAATATAGTGTAGCTAATGACTTATTATATAAGAATTTATTATTAAAAACATTTACTATACGAGTATAATATTGTGAAATAGTATTTCATGTAAAGATTAAAAACCCTTTTTTGTGTAAGTAACAAACATGTCAAGTTAAGAATTCAAAACTTAATTTGTTTCTTGCATGTTTAACTTTTACTGCATATCGATTGTTTAACAATCATTTGCAGATTTCCAAAATTGTGATGAAAATGAATTTCGTTGTGACAATAAACAGTGCATTCCATCAGAAAAACGATGTAATTCCAAACCTGACTGTTTGGATAAAAGCGATGAACAAAACTGTGGTAAGTATATAATATTATATTACTATATCAATTATAGACCTTTTTACAATACGATTCTTCCATAGCAACCAATGTTGCATTTCTCGCATGAGCATTCTGCGTAGGGCAAAAGCTCAATAAAATTGACAACAGTGTATGATACTTTAAGGCTTTAATAGTCGTGATTCCATGTAATATCAACCAGAAAACAGTAATTTTGGGGTGACTTAAAGCGGTAAGTACTTAAAACGTCAATTGATATTTATAACAGATATAATAAATATGCAGGACTAATAATCCAATGGTCAAAGGCGCATACAAAAGACGTCTGTTTAAGGTATCATTAGACGACTTTTTCATCCGTCATTTAAATTTAAACAGCAGTACCCCTGTATTACATATTATTACAAAATGTGTTTTGTACACTTCCTTTGGATTTGCCAGGCGGTAAGTGTCAAACAAATTGACACGCGACCGTGGTTTTTAATTGTTTCCAGCTAGATATTGTATAAATATCATTCAACCGGGGCATTTTAGAACCATGACATATTTAATCACGTATAATTATGAAAATCGTAATTTAAAAAACTTTTATATATACCGATATGTTTATTGATAAAAAATATAAATATGTGTTACGAGGAACCGGATAAAATGAGTGTTATTTCACTTTCCTTAAAATTAAAAAACAATACTATTCAAAATATATTTATGTGACTAAAATGTTATGTGTTTTACATCACAGTCAAATAAAGGATAAAATCAGGTAAACTGAACACTAAAAATGCATTATCACCGGGCCTGTTCTGACTATTTTCAGAATGCTTATTAATCTCGATTTTATATGTTATAAAATTTTATCTTTTTAATGAACTATTTCAACAACAATTTAGTTGACTTCCATTTGAATAAAAGATAAAATTCCACATTTTCTTAAACAAATTTCAATGTCAGATCCGTAACCGTAAGCGGGCACACCATAAGGGGGAATTCTTAAACAATTTCCTTTTCCATGCCTTTTTATGGCAATCTTGGCAACAAAGCTAGGAATCTAAAGGAATCTTTTCTATCTTTGTTTAAAGCTATTTTATATAATTTTCTACCTTTTACCTTAAACTAACTCGGAATTGTCTAGGAACTTCTTCTATATGTCTATGTTAGACTACGCATTTTTTGCTCTACGAAGTTTGCCCATGTGCGGGGAAATACTACTTCTGGTCGATTTTTCATAGCAACGGACCGCGTCGTAAAAAGGTCTATAGGATAAGTATATATGACTTACTTTCAATAAAAAAACGTACGAACTATGTATGAAAATCTTCGTTCGTTACTACAATTAAATGTGGTCTTTTCTTAAAAACTGCCAGATATTTTAATGCCACTTTATTTTCATAATGTGTTCACAAAAGTGTGCATGACTTAAAACATAACATATATACTTTGTATGAAGTCAAAACAGGTTTATATCATATACATAAAAATAGTAATTTCCAATATTTTCAAATATAAAATTTGAGCATAGTATATTTTTAAGAAAATTCATCTTATACTGTATATCACTTACAAATCGAGCCGAATGATGAAGAACGACTAACCTAACTTGACATAAATAAAACTGATTAACAAATATCATCAGTAATATTTTTGTTTAAAGCTATTTTATATAATTTCCTACCTTTTACATTAAACTTACTCGGAATTGTCTAGGAACTTCTTCTATATGTCTATGTTAGACTACGCATTTTTTTTGCCCTACGTAGTTTGCGCATTTTGGGGAATACTACTACCGGTCGATTTTTTCAAAGCAAAGTACCGCGTCGTAAAAAGGTCTATAGGATAAGTATATATGTCTTACTTTCATTAAATAACGTTCGAACTATGTATGAAAATCTGCGTTAGTTACTTCAAATAAATGTGGTCTTTTCTTAAAAACTGCCAGATATTTTAATGCCACTTTATTTTCATAATGTGTTCACTAAAGTGTGCATGACTTAAAACATAACATATATACTTTGTATGAAGTTAAAACAGGTTTATATCATATACATAAAAATAGTAATTTCCAATATTTTCAAATATAAAATTTGAGCATAGTATATCTTTAAGAAAATTCATCTTATAACGTATATCACTTACAAATCGAGCCGAATGATGAAGAACGACTAACCTAACTTGACATTAATTAAACTGATTAACAAATATCATCAGTAATAAATTTTTAAAATATTGTGTGAAGAAAAAGTCATTAAACATCATGCTAAGGAAGTAGAAAAATATTAACAAAAACATTATTTTAATAAACAATTCCTGCAAATCACAAGTATGTTAATCACTACATGCACTGGTTTATTATTAAAAACGGTAGGAATTTCTTAAAGTACATGATCCGTAGCCTTCAAAAACGGACGAAAGCGATGGTTTTGTCGTTGTTCCAGCACAGTAAATATCGTATGGCGATTTTAATTTTAATTTTTTGAGGAAGAGCTCAAGTGCCCTTCAGTGCAATATTGTAGACACGAACGGACAACTATAGAACCAACTATATTCGCTAATTTTAATTCAATAATCATGCTTAAAGCTTCCACACATGAAAAAATCCAAAGGGCCTGTTGGGATGATTCGAACCAACAGCGATGACGTACAATAATCGATGTTGCAAATCTAAATTTTGAAGAAGCAGGAATTATCATGTTACATTTACTTACATTTTGTTTCATAATCAAATGCATTTAAACTCTTCATTTACATATTATATATGCAATTAAAAAAATATTATGGACACCGATTATTACATATAATTGTAATCAAGGTTCATAAACATATCTTTTCTTTCAATTAAAGCGTCCTGCACAAATTCATTTCTGTGTTCTGCTGATTACAAATGTATTCATCTTCGTCTGAGGTGTGATCGCTACCCTGACTGTACAGACAGCAGTGACGAATTAACTTGCCGTAGGACATACCAACCATATGCTAATTTGAGCGATGAGTATCTTTCTCTGACAGGTTCGAAAGGTGAGCAAACATTTTATATCAAGTTATTGTGTTCTCAAAATCATCTTTTTTTCTTCTTTATTATATATTTTTTTAATTTTTTTTTTAAAAGTTCTCAGAGTTTGATGACAAAAGCATGAGTAAACTTCACGCGCTCATAGTATCTTTTAAAATGGAATTTGAAAACTTAACTTCCTTTTTTCTTCCACTTTCTACATAAATTTCAATTATTTTAATGCATTCAATCTATATCTTATAAATTAATGTTATGATCAAACATAACTTTTTTTAAATGCAAAATTAAAATGCAACTTTCCCTGTCAAGAATATATCGCAAATTAAACTTAAGATAAACACGATCACTGTTTTGATAAAAACATTCACCTATCAGTAGTTTCTAAAGAATTGTAAGACTTCTCAAAGTCGAAAAGAAGAATCAATTTTAGAAAAATACCGATATCAGCAAAATTAAAAGTAGCATAAAATACTCTTGATTTAATACCAATAATTCTAATATTGACAAAGAAAATCTAATCACCATTCATGCTAGTGTTTTTAACATTGATTATTTATGCTGAAATCGTCTTTTTAAGTTTCTTTTGAAATACTGGTACCCTACCGATAAAGACATGGTTTATGGCTAAGTTTTGACAATACCTATATTTATTTCTCAAAGTATATAAAAGAGAAAATAAAAGCCAAATATCATTGCTAGTATTACTATTATTATCTTATTTGTACGCATTGTATGGCTTATCAATTGTTATTGACCATTTTTTTTTCTGTAGATTATTCTTATGTCAAATATTTTTAATCTGAAAAGCGTTTCTATTCAGTTGCGAAGCAATCAATTCTGAAATGATTTCAAATAAGATGTATGATTTTCTGAGGAATGACACATCGGCTTAACACGTGACCATTTTTTGATTTATTGCATTTTGGCAAAATATTACTGTTTATTTATTCTTAATGGAAATACATTTCATTCTTATCCCTGTATACATATAATGGACTCTACAACTGTCTGATGTCATGGCAATGGGTTGCTTACCAGAAGAAAATAACATGGAACTTGGCTACAATTAATGTATCTCCATCCAAGGAGTATCTGTTTTTCTTTCAACAAAGCGCATCGATGTAAGTAGTGTTGTAATGCATTGTCATGAAACGTCTGATATTTTCCATCTACACATTTATTTACCTGTGGAAACAAGAAAAAGTTCGTTCTGGAGAAATATATATTTAATCTAGTCTTAAATTTCTTTAATTGCCGCTTTTTTTTTGTTGCGAAGGCATAAAAGGCATCGAACCTGTTACCAAATCTGACCAAAATAAAAAGCGCTAATGTGACCTCGCTGTTCTTCCTCAATATAAATCCTCTATATGGATAAGTAACAAATTTACACTATTTTAAAAATGATGATAAATCAAACTTCTTTGCCTATTTTACTGCATACAACATTAGAAACGACTTTTTACCGCCACAAAACATAGAAACTTTGAGAGATTTTGCAAACCGCATTGAAAATTCAACACGCAAACTTTCAAATTCTAAAAAATCAACAACATTTTAGCGGTCCTGTCGAAGTATTAAATGAGTACTAGTGTAGTTGTAATGGAACTTCATTGTCGCTGCGTTTCCCCTTTAACTTAACTTAACTGCAATTGATCTGAACCGACATTCTCCAAAGAAGCATTTTATTTGGTCCTTCTAAAGGAAGGAATTACACAGATGCAGTATAACATCATTCCTTTGCAGCCATTTTGGGCTTGCGGGAAACCTCTCTTCGATTAAGGGATGCGACTTGCTTCTTGCCAGTTGTCTTTTTTCTAAACAGGTTAGTATTTTGTATTTTCATTTGAGTCAAACTAAATGATAGTATTATTGTTGTAAGAAATAAATATCTATATTTCTAAGCTTTCATGTTCATCTAATATATTAAAATGTTTTGTCGTGTTCACATAGGGGTAAATAAAAGCAATTTAAGTGAATATTGTTTTGATCAAGGTTATATCAACTCACACAATAAAACTGTCAATAAATATAAATATTCCATTGTTTGTGCTAAAACCCCACTATCTGAAGTACCTTTAATGTCTTTAAATTGACTAGGATTCACATTCACTGTAAGTATCCTAAATTTGATCTTTATATAAGTTATTTTCTTGCGATAGGAGATAATAATAAGTTCAAACGGATACAACAGCCTGCTGAAGGTTTCCTTTTTTTAGCCATTTTAAACAGACAAAACTTCCCAAAGAAGGAACAAGTAGAGGGATCTTGAGTTTATATCTAGAACAAAGCCACCCCGTGTCGTCATATAAAGTAACAAAGCATATGAATGATACGGTTGGTAACCGGACACCATCATTAATAGACTTTTTTGAACATTTACAATACAACATTAGTGTTAATTGGACCTTAATTTCATTCACCAAAACTTATTTTGAAGTACCTCACATTTAAATAAATTAAAGTATAAAAGATAAAGGCATGGACTGGGCATAACAACATATACTCACAAATAACGACAAGGCATTGCTATCGATGCAATATCATATCGTGGCTTTTGTCTTACAAAATTTATCTCGATTTAAGGCCTGCTGAACTTTATCTTGCATACAGGCATTACATATTTCCCGAAAAAAAAAAACAGCTTTATTATGTATTACTATTTTTAATCCTTTAATAAATAACAAATGCACAACAATAAAAAAGCAAGACCACATAATAAGAACAATAAATTAATTGACAATTTATTTAGATCTTGACCTTTCAGCTTGAAAAATAACGCTTGCACTTAAAATGTCGTTATCATGTCCAACATATACAATTCGAGTTAATTTTATTTTAAAGGGAAACTTAGGCAAATGAATAACAAAAGTATTGAATTGATCTTATTTACTCACATCGTGCTAAAATGACATTACTAAAGGTTCTAGCCTGAATTTCTGTGTAAATACTATATATATTTGGCTTGAAGCGTAAATATATCTTTATATATTTATCAAAATTAAGATGCCGACAGTGTCACCGAATAGTTTCAAAACAAGTCATATCTGGAAATTACAATTACTGATATTGTGGATATTGCTTGTTTGAAACTGTCATTATTTTGACAGGTACTTTAACGTTTTCATAGATATCTATAAGTACTTTTGTAAAATCTAAATGCTCTGACCGAAACTGCAATTTTCTTTTCTATAAGGACAAAGGGTTTGTTTCTGTGACTGCTAAGTGTATTTATTTCGAAAACATTTATAGTATATTGATCGAATAAATGACATATTTGCCGGTGTTTCCCTTTAAAACCTATCAAGGTATGACAGATTTATGACCAGGCACGACATTCAGTGCAACTTCATGAAAAAATACTATTTAGACGAAAATCTGTGTGTTATTGCATAATTAACTTATTGATTGATTAATTGAATGAGTGAGTGAATGAGTGAGTTGGTTGCTTAGTGAGTGAGTGAGTGAACTGTGTGAAGTTTGAATGAGACATCATTGAAATTTTAGAAGATATACTCAACGGTGGATATCCATGTCGGTACCCTCTTTGCAAAATCTACTCAAACGGTACCCTCTTTGCGAAATCTACTCAAACGGTACCCTCTTTGCATATGCACAGGTCATTCTCTGCTGAAAACAATCCAGCTATCTATATCAATCCAGTAAAATTTCATTGTATTAAAGAAAGGAGGTGTGACAAGAAAGGAAAAGAAGAAAAAAGGAAAGGAAGTATACCACGGAACACTAGAATGTTTTATGTATGTGCTGATTCGTCATGTGCTCGTTTTTCAAGTTCTGCAACTTCACAATAAGCTACATAAGACATGTCTTGCCTTGTCCATCACCTCGATATATCTTTCGGCCTGAAATGAACCATAGGCCTGATTTTATATGCATCATACATATTTTATATGTTCATTTATATATCATCTTCGGACAAATGGCACTATATTGTCAAAAAATGTAAAATTAAAAAACACACCCTACTTTTGGTTTTGCAGCGGCACGGGCTACCTATTTGCATTTCAATTTTTATATCACAGGTACCCCCTCATTTTTAACACACAGGTACCCTTAAAGCACGACATACCCTTTTATCTACGTAAATCTTTAAGTATTTAACATTTTTTATTTTCATGTACGTATTTAAACCATAGTATAATGCTACGGAGTTCTGTTATTCACAAATGTGAATAAATAAGATAGAAGAACACAATTGTAAACTTATTCGTATCATCGAATCGAACACGGTGTCAAATTATGAAAGCGTTTCCAAGGTTATGGCATTGTAGTACTGTGTTGTTACCAAAACAGCACCAAACCACGATAACCAACATGAAGCACCGTAGTTATTTTTGTAAATATTTTACACTTTACAGATATACGTGATAGTGTGATGTTTACGTTATATAACGGTGATTTTGGTGTCCTGTTTTCAAGAAGTTTCAAACATGTTACTCATTGCCCTATTACTTAATTAATATTTTGCTTCAGTCTGTTGCTTTTGTCAGTCAGTACAGTTATAGTAATTTACTGTTTTGTATGGAAGTAAAAACATTACATTGTTACATGTTGCTCCTATTATGACAATTAACTTCACATTTGGCAACTTTCCCTCACCTCGGGTATTAGAAAAAAATAAGATTCGTACTGTTCTTCTTTTTAAATTTCTACAATTTATACTTCCGCTCATGATAGATAATATATAATGTATTTGCACTTGTTTATGTATTCATTTGTTTATAATATATATATATATATTTATTTATTTTATTTTATATATATATATTTATTTATTTATCTTATTTATTTATCTTATTCATTGAACAAATGTAAAGCGGAATAATTGCTGTCGAATTTCCGACTTCCTGTATTTATAAAGTCTTACTCTATCTTTCGCGCTTCGTGCTTCTTTATGTACTTTGCTAGGGCGGGTACCCGTGTATCAAAAACATCGAATAAGAGAGTGCTTGTAATATAAACAATTAATAGCAACGAGGTGGCCCCGTTTCGTTGCAAAACCGAAAGTAGGGTGTTTTTATCAATTTTACATTAATTTTTTATTAATAACTGCTATTTTCCCGAAGATTATGTATCAAGCCACTGGTTCATTTCAGCCCGAAAAAA